TGTATTTTTTTTCTTTCATAACTCAACTTTGTGCCGGTGAAATTCACTCGTACGTGTATTTACATTTGGATATGTTTTCTCTTTTTTCCAGTTCACAAAATTAAATGGTGTATAAATGTTAATATGTAGGTTACTCGCAAACCGGCTGCACAATGGGGAAGATTAATTAACATGGATATAGAGCACGGTGCCGAATTCGCGTATTTGAGAAACTGAAAAAACAGAAAGGATAAATACTCTCTAAAGAGTTTAATATATATTAAATCCCACTTTTTTACTGTAAACTTAACTTACAATTAGTCGAATATCTAACAAATTTGAAATAAATTGCCTCGACGAGAGAATATCGAGAGATCATTATTCATTTAATTTTCGATATGGGACATTTTGAAGAATTAATATCAAACTGAAATTCATTTAATACAGTAAAATTCATTTTATAAAATTAAATATAGAGGAAAAACCTCGATCTATTTAGTTGTGCGAAATTTAGCTGGCCGAAAAGTCCCACGTTTTCATTAATAACTCGGAAGCCATTAATTTCAATACTTTGATAGTAGAATATTTTGATACTACATTTTTTCTGTTTATTTAAGAAATTGAGGTCAGTGATAAAATTAGAATCTTCTATATATTTATAAAATAGTAAAATTATAACTCGTTGGTTATATACGGTTTGAAATTTAAAATAAATTTCTATCTTATATCCATCGAAAATATAGAGAAGCCTAAATTATTCTGGCGTAATCTTGTACGGAAAACATGGAAAAGACATGGAATATCTCGAAATATTTAGTCAACGATCAAAAAATATATAATTTCAATATTCTAAGCTTAAAATACTAATTTAGATATTTTTCCGGAGAGAATAAGAAGTAACGAGGGATATTTTTTACGCCAATTATTATCCAGTTATCGTTATCCAATTTAAATGCTACATATATAGAATTACACTTGCATCAAATGCATGCACATAAATTTTCTCTAAGGTAATCGCAAAAATAAAAGAAGGAAACAAATTTGAAATTCATAGCTTCCTTCCCAGATAGCCACCGTCTACATCTTTCTCTCTGTAGATCCGTCCGTTTTGCTGGCTTATTCCTTTATTTTCTCTTTCACTCTCTCTCGAGAACCACAATCCAGACAGCTTTTCTAATTCTAATGCAAAAAGTGTAAGAGCGCGTGCAGCTAAAGCGGACAGATCTCACGTTTGGACCCGAGCGAGCCTCCGCGAGTACGTAGGTACGCTACGGTCACGTTCACCGCGGTGCATCGCATGTAAAATGCGGCCCTGATACCGCCGCCTCGCGAAAAGGAGAAGGGACTCACCGAGCGGCGACGGCTCGTTCCGCGTGTCTGCCCGTCATCCTCGAAGAATCCTGGGCCGGTCGTGCTGCGTGGGAAGACTCACGGTGTCGAGCAGATCACTCCATGCCAGGCACCCGTGCGGCGGCGACGCGCACAACCAGCCTTCGAAAAGCAGAAGACGTTTTTCCCTCGAGCGGGCTTCGTTCGTGCGGGACGAAACGAAACGAAATGCCCGCCGATCGTGCACGCGAAACGACGACGACGACGACGACGACGACGACAACGAATTCCCGAGCGTCACGCGCGTCGCGACGAGATCTCGGCTCGAAAGTTAGCCGCGCGAAGTTCTCCGCGCCGGAATTCAAATCCGAACTCGCTCGCCCCGCAAACGCCACGTCGCGCTTCGCGTCCCGCCGTTTGCGACGTTCTCACGCGTACTTCCTCTTCCTCTCTTCTCTTCTTTCCGCGAAGAAAATATATCGATCAATTCGTTTGTTTTCCCCCAATCTTTTATCTAAATTAAATAAGTAATTGTACAAAGATCAATCCATCGTCTGACACGGTAGACACGCGCGAGCGGATCGAGGTGATGTGGCGCGCGATTGAGGAAACTAAAGAAATTACACTTTGATCGAGTTAACGTTTGCTTTCGATTACGTTCCTAAAAGATCGAGTCAATTAAAAGCGAGGACTTCGTGTGTACTTTGATTTACTTCAGTTCGTTATACGAATGTGCGAAGGTAGGTATAGGCGTTCGCAATTACGCTCCCTCCATTCGGACGCGACCATAATTTGCACGCACACGTACGTTAATCTTTACCGGCTCGGAGTAATTAATAATTAATCATTCGAGTTTGTGGGTGTAATTAACTGGAATTTAATCGACTATACGGATAAACTGATTCGTTACGCGTGGGGGGGGGGGACATCAAAGTAACTAAAATAAATAAATAAATAAATATCAAATAAATCATCCGTCCGTAAATACTTTTGGAAAAAAAAAAATACGAAAATGGATATCATTAAATATGATCAAGCAGATCTCGTCGCGGCGTAACGTAAAATATTTATCACACGAATCCGATAAAGGGAAAGAGCCTCATCGACACTCTGTAACTTGCTTGTCGCGTTCGCTAAATTCAATAAAGGGTATTTACTGTTTTTCTCAATCGTTGTAATAAATAGTTACACCGTACAACTTTACAAGAAATATCTTGTCGATAATGTGCAATCAACGAAAGAATTCAACAATATTTGACAATTATTACAATATTTCCACTGTTAGATTAGGAGATTAATTTAACAATGGCAGAAATAATTGCCTTTTCCATCAAATAATATACTACAAATATATTTCTCTTACATTTCTACTGATGTCCTCATCACAGATTAAAATTCAATTTCGATTAAAAACCCAATCACAATTTTGAAGAGCTATCGAAAATCATATCAAATGAACGTTAACTGTAATATAATGATTTTCATTATTACACGTCCTTTAACGTTTCACAACATCAATAACCATTCGTCAATCGCCAAAACGTCAAGAGCGTCACAACTTTGATATCTTAATGTATTTCCAATGCAAGCATAGGGAAATGAGAAGCATTATCTAAGGATACTTTTCGTTCTGTCGTAATGTTATATTAAAAAATTGTTGCAGCGCGTCTCGAAAGTAACAAGCGAATCACCTGAATGACGACACGTAAATGGAAGCCGGATGATTTGGTTCGTCCTGTCCGTAACAACGTCGAACGCGAACGGTACGACAACGCGATTGACGACGTCGAGCGAGGCGAGCGAGAAAGGAAAGGCGACGGCGTGCTCTTTCCTTGAACTCTCGGACGTGAATTCCGCACGCGGCTGGCACTGATCGCGAGTACTTAGAGGAGAGGATCGCCCACCGGGTAGGAAAAAAACGATCACGAACTCACGCGCGCGCGCGCGCGCGTGTGTGTGTGTATGCACGCGTTCAATTCGGATGCAAACAACGCCGACGTGCGTACCGGTAAACTTCACGCGACAGCGGGGGTGGTTAGTGACGGCGGCAATTTCAGGGCGGTGCGCGTTTTTGAACGACGAGACGCACGCGCGCGCACACGCACATCTACCTCACTGTCCTCACTCGATCTCTCTCTCTCTCTCTCTCTCTACAACGCGAAATTGCCAGGACGAGACGGAAGGACACGCGTCCTATCGCGAGAAGAACACTCTCTCGACTCGCGGCTCCTGTCCCACGCGACCTGTCACCGCGAGCCGCCGAGTGCGCGCCCCGGATCGCGGGGAGAGAGGGGGGGGGGGAGACAGCGAGGTATGCGTCTGCTTGCGCGCGTATGTCACAGCCGGCCGTTTACCGTAGGACTCACCGGCGACGGCGTAATGTAACCCGGAGGCGACTTCGACGAGAGGCAACGATCGCGCGAACGTGTACGCTGGCTCCAAAGCCCCGCTCGGGCGACCGACCGACCGAACGAACGACCGACCGACCAACCCGACCGTACCCGTGAAAGGCGACTGCGACTCTACTACTACTCCGAGCGCCGCACCGTCGCGGCAGTGAGGGGGAGGGGGGTAGCTCCGACCGCTTCGCTCGCGCTCACCAATGGCGCGGGCACTCCCTCCCCTCCGTCTCCGCGGTGCTATCTCGCCCCGGCGAGAGCAGCTCGTCGCCGACGGGGATCCGCAGCAACTTCGCGCGTCGCCCGCCAGGGGCGCCAGGCGGCGCCACCGCACGGTAGCGCTCCACTATGCACGGTCAGGGCCGTCGATGTCGTACACCGACGACGCAATATCGAGAGACATGTCTGTATACACAGTTTCGATATCCGGCAATACACCCGATACCCTCGTGGGCGACCGAGCGGAATCGAAGCTTATTTATAAAGTCGATGTATATACATATCCCCACACGAGAATTGCCTACTTCGTCTTTCCCCATTTTTATTTTTTTATTTTGAGATAAGTGTGGAAATATCTGCGACAGGAACGCAATATTTTTTTCTTTGATGTAAATTCAGTCTTTAAGAGGATGCTAAAGCCGTCTGTTTTATCGACAAAAATACCATTTTTGTTGGATACAAAACACTTCGTATTAATCGCATAGAATAAAATTTCCTTTTCCACGATTAAAACACACATGCTAATGCATCTGGCTCTGGTGTATTTTGTACCAAAAGCAGGAAAAATTAAGAAATTACAGATTTCGTTATCCATTTTAACCTCAACATGGCGACAAATACTATCAATTTGCCAAAACGTTTACTTCGTGAAAAAGTTAGGCAGGTTATACGCTCGAAATGAAGGCAGAGCCAGATGTACAATAAAGAAATGAATATAGGTGAGTCGTTAAAATCAAATTTAGAAGTCTAAATAAAAGTACATTTGTATCCTACAAATTCGTGTATATGTATGCGTGAGATATATTGATGTGGTAATAAACATGACACATCACTACACACTACTACATCAATATCGCACGCATACATACTCACAAATTGTCGGTAAAACAGCGGATTTTTGGAGTTTGATCTAGGATTTAGGATCCTCTTAAATTTATCTACACTTCATAATGCATAAATATTGAATTTCTCTTATACAAATAACATTACAATTTCTTTAAACAAAATATATTCCTACTATTCCTAAGATTTTATGTAAAGTAATCGTAATAATTTATGATTTGCATGCAGAAGTTTAATAAAATTTATCTTTATTATGAAAATGAATGTTTTACATATGGTGCGAAACCGTGTAGGTACAATAAAAATTATGCTAAATCGTAGGAATAACGAAGTGACAAACGTTAAAATAAAAAAGAAAAAAAATGTTTAGAGCGGAAATAAAAATCGGCACATTCTTACATGTGCAAATTAAGACCCTCGGAGGGGGTACGTCGAATAGTTTCTATCGTTAATTTCAGGTTATTTTACAAGAAACGAAGTCTCCGCTATTATTAATATCGCAAAATTCAAATAATTTCAAACAAATAGAACTGAACATTCCACAATCTGTAGTTTTTGACTTTTGAGAAGCTTGTTTAATTTAACTTCAAAAACTCACAAAACTCAATATTTATGAACTCAATTTCATTTATATATGTTAGAGTTTCTTTTTCTGTATGTAAATAAAAACGCTTATGTACAATCAAGTCGCTTAGTTGAACTTTCAAACTCTGGAATCGTTGCTATTTATTATCGAAACCCTATAAATAATCATCGTGATTTCTGACAGGAGGAAAGCGTAAGAAACTTGTGAACTGGTGAACGGGAGACGAGATTTCAATACCTAACTAGCAGATCAAAACTTTTATCATGTACTCTTACACGAATTTGGCCAAGTGGTGTTATCCAAATAAAAAACTATACTGAAAGTCACGCGTACAAATGTCAGCCATGTCTTTTCTTTTATCGTAAATGACGATAAAAAAGTCTTCATTGTTTATAATTCGTATAGAATTATACAACTGACTGAACGTATATGCAGTACAAGATTTAAAGTTCGTACAATAAACTAAACGTTTATGTGTATCATATGAGATTATGAAATGAAAACGTTGTCAATTTGGGAGTAAATTAACCTCTGTCTTTAGCGGCACATGACGCAAGTCAAAGAGAAACTGAACGAGACACAAGTTAAACGATGGCGGTTTGATAAAGTAATCGCTTAATCGATTCGTGAGTAATTAAACATAGTGATTGAACAGGCTTTCACACGTCCTCTGATGTTTCCGCAATGTTCAAGAATTGCAAACTGTACCAAAGACTGCCGTCATCTCGAGCGATGCTATAACGCATCGCTCGCGACACACTTAAAAATTTCCTATACTCGATCTAGAATCCTTTACTTTCTCTCTTTCTCGTTCCCTCTCCCTGTCTTGTCCGTTTGTCAATTTTCAATGAACATTTGTCTTTCTTTAACTCTCATTTTTTTTTATCTATATTAAATTATATCTCAATATACTGTTTTATTTATATATCTATATATATATCTATGTATATATCACGCCAGTCTCGCCATCGATTTAGTAACCTAGGTACATTTTGTTAACAAGCACTGGACCAACTCTTTCCTCCTCCCGTTTGCCCACGAATCTTGAAATGTTCAATGTCAATTATCGCTAAATTATGCCGGTTTCTGCGAACCCTTCTTGCCAATAAGTGATTTGTGGATATGTGGAATAACACCTGCAATCACACGACAAATACATATATGAATTTCTTGTGTTCTCGTTGGTATAATAGAAAAAAAAAAATATATATATATATATATATATATATATATAATTAGCGATAAACTATACAGAAACTTTGAAAATACTACTATACACAAAATATAATCCCAGAAAATTATACATAATTATAGTAATTTTAAAAATTATATATTACTTACAACAATGAAATTACATGAATAACTACATATAATTATATAAGCCACGAAATTATAAAAAATTACGAAAAAGGAACGTACCTCCTCCTGCAATAGTTGCCTTAATGAGACTATCTAATTCTTCGTCACCACGAATAGCGAGTTGCAAATGTCTAGGTGTAATACGTTTGACTTTCAGATCCTTTGATGCGTTTCCCGCCAACTCCAATACCTGAGCAAAAAAGAATTGTAATCGTTTATTAAACCATTTTAAATAAAATAAAATACATCGGTATGTATAATAATACTAGAATAATTTCACAATTATACAAATAATTAGGATAAGCCGTAAAAATAACTGTGCGTCAATTAAAGTGAATTTCTCGCTTGGCAATTTCAATTTCAAAATATACTTTGCCTTTGATATTAAACATTCAATCAATTTTCAATGCATTCAACTCGAAAATAAAAAGCGGGAAAAAGATATGTTTTTAGAGACTGCGACGTCATCATCTTGTAATGCCGGGTTTATAACGACTGTTCTCTGTCTATATTTTAATTATCTCTCCCTCTTCTCGTCTCTGTTCTATGCCTACTCTTCCTTTGTCTTCCCCTTCCCCTCCCGGTATTGCCGCGAACATTATTCGGCATTGATATCTAATTATTTAACTACTTATATAATTGCGCCTTGAATTAAATTTATATTAAATTGTGTTGTTTCAAAGAGTATAAAACGATATTCAAACTTTAATTCAACGATTAGATATTAACGACAATCCCAACGTTTCCGCAAACGTTATCAAGTGCTAACGATAAGAACAGCATTGCGGTACATTGATATTTCCTTTAATTAACTTCGATCCTATCCTTACAAATGACCCCGCTTATTTCGTCGTTTATCATTTGTGAAGTATTTAATGTTCCGGTCTCTACTTCTTTTTCCCTATCTTTCTTTGCCGACCGTTTGAACCATTTCTTATCTACGTCAATATTTTCCCTCATTTTAATTCTGACAATTATCCCATTGTCATTTGTGCGAAACTGTCGATCTTGTAAAGATATTACTCGAAACTTAATGGAGTCTTAGTTTCGGTCCTCGGTTACAATATCAGTTACAATCTCTCGTATTCTCTCTGTCTCTCTCTCTCTCTCATACACACATACATATACATACACGCATACACACATATGCTCACTTACCTCGGCCGTAAGGTATTCCAAAATGGCCGCGCTGTACACCGCCGCAGTAGCGCCTACCCGACCATGACTCGTGGTTCTGTTTTTCAAATGCCTGTGAATTCTGCCTACGGGGAACTGCAATGAATCGGTTGCATTAGCCCGCGCTTTTCACGCCTCTCCCCGGAACCGCGAATCGACGGGGGTTACGAGGGTGTGCTCGCAGCCTCGTAGCCTCGACACCCGGTATACATGGTTTTTCTTACGCGCTGCGAGAACTGACGTCACTGTTACGCGCAGAAATGTATGTAATACGTGTGTAGTGATATAAAAAGCTCGGTCCCGCACTTGGACTTTAGGTACGGGGCGAAAAGGGAAACTCGACTGTGTTTCGACTTTCGATCACTACGTAGTTATGGTAAACTTATAGTAAACATCATTACCGGCATCCCGTTTCTCGGACGATGTCAATAATACATGAAGTAACACTCGACTCCGGAACGAGATCGAACTTTTTTGCATTGTGTATTCGTCTCGAACGTATTAAGTCACACCGAAAAAATTTATTTTGTTTTGCCGCTTACATTACGATCGGAGACGATATCCCGAGGGCGGAGATACGCCGGAAATATTTAAATAATTAAGGCTTTATTTTGTACTTTAGAAGTTATACTTTTAAGAGCCTACCTTTAAAAGTTATATTTTTTTAATTTGTTATACTTTTAAATTTACTTATGTCGAAACATTGTTGAACAATATTGCCCCAATCTTGTGGAGATGTCCGCAGGAAAAAGATTAACTTGAGATTAAACAAAAGACATATATTCTAAATGAAGAGCATTTGAAATGTAAATTAGAAGGTAAAAATAACACAGAAAAATTTTTACTAATTTTACTTCTCGTCTGAACATTCGAATTTTCAGCGTCGCTTGGGAAATTTGCAAATGCAAATGCGAAAAGCAATTTGTGACCTAAACTATATTTAGAAATACGTCTGAGATTTAATAATGATCATTTTAAATGGTTCTTAGTAAAGCAGATGATAGCTCGTCACGTGTTAAGAAACACCCTATATATCTAGCGAATGAAGACGGATAAAACTACATAAATAACGTTTGATCTGAACGTTCGTAGCGCCAACAATGTCCGCAGATTCACTGCGTTTCAGGAACGGTTTGCTTATAGGCGCATAAAGAGTTTGTCTAAAGCTTCACTTTATTACAACAATTATAACCGTAGACGACAAAAAATAATTAAAACTAAATAATTCGAAATATTAAAAATATATTAATTTTTCAAATCACTTGTTATTTTCACAATCCTCACAAATTTAGCTTTAAAATTCAAAATTTATTGCTTGCTGAAAATTCTCATTACTCGAAAATCATGTTTTAAAATCTTTGATTTGCGTCAATTGTGTCAAACAAGTAGAATTAATATCAGTCGTTAGTAATAATAACTGGCAATGAAACTAATGTAATATTAATCGGCAACTATAATTATTTTATGCATTGTAATATACGTGCCCGTTCCTGACATAAAAACAAACAAAAATTAATGATTTAATAATTTATAAACATGTCAGTATCAATATCTGTCGATATTGACTATTATATCAATAATTGCCAAATTCTTCTGGACTTTTTTTTGCGTCCCGATGCCCCGGTGCCTTAATCCGCCACTGAGGCCGCGTCTAGTGACTTCTGCCGGAACTTCTGCGTCAGTAGTAACGGTCGAACGTTTTCCGCACGAGGTCGCGACTCGCGGCTACTACCCGTCCGCGCGACATCCGGCCGTGGTCGGCCACGGCGTCGGTAGCCGCTCTCGGCCGTGGCTGGAATATCGAGCGATAAGCGACGGCATGGATTTCCGCGACGCGTTCCGCAACGGGCCCGTTGCTCCGATTCCGCGGGGATCGTCGCCGATAAGTCGCATCCGTCCGATCTTCGCGAAACGTCCCTTCCCCGCGCCAGTATTCCGTCTCCCGACATTCCGCATCATTTCTCCGCCGGGAATGCGCTATTCTCTTTCCCTCTTTCTCCCGAGAGAGAAAGAGAGAGAGAGAGGGAGAAAGGAAAATTCCCGGCTCCTCTCGGCTCCGTTCGCGGAACCCGCGCGAATATCAGACCTCGCGCGTCCCGTTCTCACGCTACGCGAATATCGAGCGGTACGATTTGGCTCGCTCTTTCTCTTCATCTCTCTCTCTGTCTCTATCTCTATAGCTCTCTCTCTCTCTCTGTCTCTCTCCACCTCTATCCCTTTCTTCCCTGCCGCTCCTTTTCTCTCTCGCGCTCTCGCCGTTGCCTCTCCAGCTTTTGGCACGAAGTTTCGTCATCCGACGCACGCCCCGCGACGCGTTCGAGAATCACGGCTCTAGAGCCACGGTATCCCGTCCGCTGCTCTAAAATTCTCGCACGAAGATTCTCCCGTGTCGATCGTATAAGCGGCTAGTCCCTCTCCTCCCTCCCCGCCCCGCCCCCCTGCCAAGCGCGGTCGATATTGTTGCACAATAATTTTGTCATCGCTGATACCGGTGGCTCACACACGATCGACACACGTCGAAATGTCGCCGTTTTCAAAAGGAAGACTTGAGGACAACGGAAATTTCTATTAGCGCACGCCGTCCTATAGCCCGATCACGAAAATTCAAACTCGTACCTGAGCCGTAACAAAGCCTCCGACCTTATATACGCGTGTCTAACACACACAGACATAAACTTCGACGTTTAACGCGTTTACGTTTAGCTCGGATAACGGATCGTGCTGCCCGAAGCCAAGTTTTTCATTAGTGTAATTGTATTAAATTTTCAACTCTAGAGAGATAAGATAAAAAATCTGATGGTCCACCAGTCGGCCGAAACTGTTTTATCTTCTCCGCGGCGCGTCGGGAATTTCCACAAAAGTGAAATATCGTCCGACGGAATCGCACGCACACGTACACAAGTAGTAGGGAATAATCCGAGACTTGTTGAATCCGTTTAATTTTTGCACGATCTGTACTCCAAAGTACAACAAAAAGTATATAATTAATTCGTCTTACGAGCTTTCCGCTGGCAAAACGTCCGTCGTCTCGGGGTATCGTCTCACCTAAGACCTGGCTAATCTCTCTCTCTCTCTCTCTCTTTCCGGAATGTGCGCGATGTATCGAAGTAATCTTATTTGCGAAAATGTTATATGCGCTGGCGATGAAATTATCGACTCGTGACGTAGGTGTTCCACGTTCGATTCCCCGTTCGCATTAATGCCGCTAAATTAAGCCAAATATATCCGCGGGTCCTCTGTAAACAAAGGAGATTTTGATCGTATTCAACGTCAAACGCGAGTATGGATTTTGCTTATCGGCGTAACACCCGAACGTTTAGGTTTAATATTTAAACGACAGACCGCGTGATCCACTGTCATAATTAAGAATTCTAATCACGATGGTAGGAACACGACCGTGTCGATAACGTATCAAAAACGGACTAGAACTTATAATAAATAGCGATAACTAACACTTGGCTTATACAATCGTGGATACATTCGTTTTTCTTTTTTTTCCTCTCAATGGGAGGTAATTTTCTGTAAATATCTGAAATTTTGTTACAAAATTTTAAACATTTCGACTTAATGAGAATTTTAACGTGACTAGAATGACGAAAATGAAATGAATTCAAAATGATAGTTTAAAAAATACAACTGCTTTAATTTTAACTCGTTCGATGATGAAAGCCACTTAACGTTTAATTTAATCATTTACTTAAGTGACTGCACATGGTTTAGTATTACAAAAAACCGAACCAAATATGACTTGTATTTAAATATAAACAGACATCAATTTCGAAAAAAAAAAAAAAAAAGAGAATGTACTGTAGTCACTGGATACGTTTATTTCCGTCCTGTGTATTACGCAACTCTGGTTTTGATCAACTAAATATTTGTTACACGGATCGTCAAATTGCATTAACGAAAATTGCATTCCGTATCGAACGGGCGGCATTCCTCGCACGATCGCAGGCGGACGAAATTTACTCCGGAACGATGATCTCGACGAACGTCGAGTGGTGCCCTGCCCTTTTGTTAATTATTCAATATACACGATATTAACGGATATCGACGGAGATATCCGGCGATCGGGGAGCGCAACACCGTCGCGCGACGTATCGTCCGATCGGGGAAAACAAATCCGTGGTTCGAATTCGCAATTCTCGCGCCTCGCCGCGTCGGTTCGATGCGGAACCGCGCGATTCCGTGCCCGCCGACGGCGGGGATTAAGTCAACGGATAAACGCGGCTACACGCACGATCGATGAATATTCGCGACAGCGAACGAATGTAAATACGTTAAAAAAAAAAGGTAAACAAGCCGGCCACCATCGTCGCTCGTGCCCGCGAGTACCAATGACAATCGTCGGTCGCGGCGCGATCGCCCCGGGGAACGGGAAACAACAAACGGCGAACGGAAACGACGCCTTCTCGCCGCGATTCGCGGCAAAAATTGATTCTCGATTTACCGCGGGTCGCCGGGGTCGCCGCAGGGTCGAATAATCGCGCCGAAACGAGCCCCGGGAGGTGGCGGATGAGAGGGGGGAAGGGCGACCCGGTCGCCGCCGTTTGAAAACGATGCGGCGGACTGCACGCGACGAATTCGAAAAGTAAATCGTTCCGCGCGGCCGTTTCCCGAAGGTTTGGCGCGGAGCGTGTAGAGCGAGGTACGCGGCACCGCGGCGCGTACGCGCGAGCCGTCCGGGCGTGCGGCTTGCCGCCGGAAAACCGCTTCGCCGGCTGCGATGCCGCGAGTCCGGCCGGGCTTTTCGCGCCAACCATGATGATTTAACCTGCAAAGCCGCGCGCGCGAGCGAGAAAGAGAGAAAGAGAGAGAGAGATGGAGCGAGCGGCACGGGGGGGAAAATGCGAGACGAGATCCGGGGACGACGGATTCCCCGTAGGGAAACACAACACACGCGTACTCTTGTTCGCCAATCGATCCCCCGTCGACGTTACACGTTAGCCGTCCGACGTCGGCAACGACTCACCTGCAGGCCGGCCCTAGCCGAACGCGAGACCGCCTTCGCCTTTGCCTTGCCGGAGTCCTTGCCCGCCTTACCGCCAGCCTGTTTCAGACACGAAAATCACGATTAATTCACGAGATCCAGCCGCGAAACTCCGCCAGTGGACGGAGGAGGGTCCGCGGCGTGCGGGGACGCCGGCGGCGGCCGCGGATGGCCGTCGTGCGCGTCAAAAACTCGCGGATACTCACCATTGCGCGACGTGGATATTCGGCACTTCACACAGCACGTAAGACTTACGAGCAGCCACGAACGACGCCGTCTAAACGCGACGAGCCCGCCAAATGCGCGCTTGGCGCTGCGGGCGCGTCTCTTGCCACGTGACCGCGCGCCAGCTAATGGCAGCGAAGCTGCGGGCGGGAGGGAAGGAACGGGGCGCCGCCTGGCGGCCGACTCGCCGAGTTATCGGTCGAGCTAATAAACATTAAACAGCTCTCTCGGCCTCGCTCGCGCCCATGGAGGACGCGTGTGCGCCAACGATTCTTCGGTCGCCCGTACCGTATTATACGTATGTAACGTCGCGACGGAACCACGGTGGGTTGTATGAATAAAAATGAAGTAAACAGAGGCAGAGGTACGACAACGGCACGTTTTGCTATTACTCGTTCGCGCGTGTCTCGCTATAGAAAAACCCGAATAAACAATACCGTAATTGTGTTTAACCGCAATGACGATCTATTATCTTGAATATTACAACAAGTAGCGAGTCGCTATAGGCATATGTCGCAGGAAATATACGTTAGAATTTAGTTATTGATTTCATTTTCCTTGCATATATATCAGTCATGTGTTTTTCTCTCGCCTCCTGCTTTGTATAATGTTGTTTCTAATTTTTATATGTAAACAAAAATTTGAGGCGAAGCATGAAAGTAATGTTTTATATCAGTTAATGTATATATATATATATATAAATTATCGAATATAAACACAAATGTGTATACCAGATAGGATTACATCATAAACCGTTTTCGAAATGTCAATAGTATCGTATATAACGATTGTGTTATCAACAATATTATTTCAATCAGCGTGGTAAAACGCTATTGTGAAACGCAGAACACATATGTGTATCGGTGACATAATGTACAAATTATCGATAATAACATTATTGTACAGTAATTAATATATTAATTTAAGGTCAATTTTTGTTAAAGACATATTACATTTCGATCAGGACATTATAATTGAGTCGTGAAAATAAAATAATAAACGTACTGCTGTAAAATTCTGCAATATATTTAGTTATAAATTTAAATGAATGTGACCCTTGGCAACAAGGGGAAAAGGGAAGATAATGTATTTATGAGCTCGAGAAAGAGAAAAAAGGGGAGAGAGAGAGAAAGAGAGAGAAACACGTGTATCGTATGATATCGCAAAGAAAAACTTGACGAACGGTATTACTTCACTTTATTGACGGAAAAAGGCAGTGATTCCATTACAAAAAGTCGCATGTAGAAAATCGTGTGCTACGAGCTTGAAAATTATACTATAAAGGCGATCAACGAGTCGACCATATTTTTATCTCGAATTTTTTATAACAGTACAGCTCACACCGGCAATATATCCTTTCTCGGAGGGAAGAATTTTCCATAGTACGCTTTGTATGTGAATTCCATCGTCGGACGGCGAAGCGAAACGGTTCGCGGATTTTGCGGAGGAGTGACCACAAAATGGCGAGTGGAGGATGTAAATATCCACCCCCATCGACACACGTACGCTATTCAAACATCTCGAATCCGCGCGTTTCGTCGATAAAGCACCCTGCTACATTTATTTTTAGCCTCGCGATTGTACGGACGTATTATACGAACGAATCTGTTTCCCCATAAAGCGACGGACGACAAGCTTTCTATCCGCGGCCCGAACAAATTCTCGTTTATACCCTCGCGTAATTGAGAGAAATGCGCTTTATTTGAATTCAAATCATCTGAATAGTGCTCGCAACGGAGATACATTTTTCTTTTAATGTTCTCGTAAATTCCTCCGCACGTGTACGTGTGCAGCCTCCGAGTGGAAATTTTTCGTGTTTACACGTGAACCACGTGTCGCATTTGGTCTATCCTTGAATTCGAATATCAATTGCATCAAAATACGATTTCAAGTATCGTGGAGCATCGACGAGCGAGGGCGCGTTCGATTACGCGGAGATTCGAATTTCTCCCCTGCCAGGTCGCGATCGGCCCTCCCCCCTCCCTCCCGCCCTCTCACCCCTCACGATCGCAAACAACGACGGAGGCTGTATTATTGAGGCGTCGAGTTTCGATGTTGCAGTTGTCGATTGGCACTGTTGGCAGGCCAGGTACGAGACCCGCGTATCTGCATCAACGAGACGATGGCCTCTCATCTCTCGTCCGCGCGGTATCGACTCGTCAATGCGCGCGGAAGCTGCGCCCTGGCGCGTCCGTGTGCGCGCGCGCTGGCGAGGATTTTTCCCGCCATTTTTACCCAGCCGCCGCGTCGCGCCGGCCCGGCCGTCTCGCCGCGTTCCTGCCCTACCCTGCCCTGCGCGTCACCTGCGCCCTTCGCCCTCTCCTCGACCGTTTCCGCGCGCCTCGCCGCGCCGCGCCGTCCCGCTATTGTATCCGTCCCGCGTCCCTCGCCCTCATCGCCGTGCAACGCCGCGTCGCTCGCGCTGTATCGTCCTTCTCCGAGGAGGAACACCCGGCTCCAGATCCTCTACTGTTGCTCCTGATTCGCCTCCGCCAGCTCGTCGCACTTGTCCTCTATATCATCCTGAAATCATCGTTATATTGATATTACGATTAATAAAATAATTATGTCATATTTGAATGTCCCGTCGGATATGCAATGTATGAGCTTGATCATTGCAGAACAATCTTTAGTGCATCCTCAATATCATCATTTATTTCAATATCAATTGTATCGAGAAGTATTCCGTTTATAAATATATTAATCACGCAATGCTCATTAAAAGTTTGCGTAAAGAATTCTTTTGTGCCTACACAGCAAGATATTCTCTTTATTTCTTTTCCTGTAGAGTATAGGAATATTAATTCCTTTTATTCCTTTTCTTTCTTTGTCATAAATAGTAACGTTTCTCAAAAGAATGATTTACGAGATGTAAAGTTTCCCGCTCGCAAATAAATATAAAAGTCACGCTTGAATAAAAAACTACATGTAGAGAAAAAAATTATTTACATGCTCGCATGGTCGCTAAAGGGTAGAAATTGCTATTTTCAGAACGAGACCGAGTGATTATCTTACATATATTACTGCTAATCTAATCACCAGCGCTATACTTTTTGTATCATGCATATATGCATATTAATTAAATAATTAATATGTATATCTATTAATTTATATATATATATATATATATATAAATTAATATATACATATTAATTAATCACTGTACACATACATATATCTGTAATTAATTATCAAACAAAATATATAAATCACAAATTCTTTTACAAATTCCATACACGATAATCATATTCACGTGTTTAAATATGCACATTTAAATATACACCACAATAATGTATAAATCATGACACCGTATATTAAAATGTGGAAATTAATATAATTTGCTAAACAGTTTGAGAAACCTAAATTAGTTTTTTAAGCGTACGCACCCATGCTTAAAAAACTAATCTAGGTTCCTAACAGTCCGCGTAATAAAAATAAATTAGAACGCACCTTGCAGGATTTTAACATTCTCTTAATATTTCTCGAGAAAAATAACTGTCGAGAAAAATAACAAGAAAAAAAAGGAGAAAATACCTCGTCGAGTTCCAAACACTTGCCCCACTCGATCAGCGTGATTTTGTGATCGTCATTGGCGTCGCAGGAGTCGAGGAAGGGCGCGATGCAGTGTTCGAGGGCCATCAAGGGCGCCTTGATCGGGAAGAGCTCGTGCCTGGACACCGCTCGATCGTGCGGGTGGCCGTCGAGGTCGCACCACTTCCAGATGACTGCGTTCGTCCAACGCAACGTGTGATTGGTCTCAGCTTCGCGTTGCATCTTCAGATAATGCGACGGCAGCTCCTGACGGTCCGCCAAATCGCGCATGATGTTGAACAGCCAGTCGCGCATTCGCCTGGGAAAATCGGCCATGTCCTCCTCCTTGCACATCTGCGCGCATTAAAGAATTTAGCGTTTATGCAAATGTATCGCGTGAGCGAAAAGCGCTCTTTGAAAACATAATTGCTTTCGATATTTCATTACTGATATACTCAATTTTTTTAATGCCATTTTTTTAAATGCCATTTTCAGCCAGGAATCGTTGAGGTAGATACGTCAGTTAACAAGCGAAGAAACATTGCTCGATCACGGTTTATATTGCGTAAAAATAATGCATGGTTTTGTTACACGAGGTGCGTTCCGTCACACCTGTGACGTCACCCCTAACAGGAATGATACTTACAGGCATCTGTCGACACTCGCCGTAGTACTCGATGTGGACATGTTGATAGTCGGGCCCCCTGCACCTGGCGTCACCGGTGTCGCAGAAGCAACGCGCCTGGTAGACCTCGCAGTCGCTGCCGAAGGTCTCATTGTAGTTGGTGCAGACCTTGCGACGCGGATCGACCTCCTGGTTGCAGAGCTCCACGCAAACGCACTCGGCCGTGCCCTCCTCCGTGCTCTGAGATCGAAGAAAAACAAATTTTCACTTTCCTTTCTATCCCTGTCTCTATCTTAAAAAGAGAACGAAATTCTTCGAATTTCAAAACGTATTTAAGACCCACACTATCTTTTACTTCCACATTTGACACTCGGTTGCATTAAATATTAGAAGTCGACAAAGCACAAAAAGTCTAGAGTATGAATAAACAAAGAATTAAAATTAATGAATCTTGACAGAGAAGACGGGATTTAATTCTAGACGAATACCAGGAAGCTTCTTATTTTATGTGCGTTAAATTTACGCGGAATATCGTCGTTGATTGCTTTATGTATCTAATATATTTGGTTATTGGTATATATACATGTAGCGATATAGGGCAATTATATCGTTGATAAAAGAGAGCTTTCTCGTCGACGACGGACCTTGCAGATACGACCAGCGCCGCAATGTTTGTCTATGCACGGGTCCTGGAGCTGCAAACGCTGCCGCTTCGATCCAGCCTCGTTTCTGCCATTTTCAAGAGTGACCTCAGCCTCCTCCGCCGTCGCCGCCTCCTCGGCTATTTCGTCAGCCTCCAGCATGTTCATGATCTCATCTTGCACGGGTGCCTCTGTCGTGGTCGTGCGACGCCGAGATTTCCGTCTGCGCTGAGAATCGATTGAGGTAAATTTCGATTAATATACGCTCTTTCTTTCTCCCATCTTCGTATCTTATAAATAATGTTTCAAGCGATAGAAACGTATATAGAGTGTAGAGTACTGTAGAAAGTTTTCCATACTTTTCGCGTTTATCATTTCTTTTCCGAAGAACATTGAGAATTTTTAATGCACGATATTTAAATTATTCAAATCTATATATTTTTCCTATAATAGCGTTATATTTAATTTTGTGTATTTCGAATGTTAGTATAACATTTACACAATTAACACAGAGAAATTCGTGAGAAAAAAAATTAGAAAACTAGAGAATTAAATTTAAATATTATACTTTAAACTTTTTTCGTTTGACCACGATAATTTTGATGAAATTAGAAAAATTATGTATGTGACGATGTGTATCAATTAAAAGACAATAATACCTGGGCGGAAACGTCCACTATCAGGACCGCCAGAAGCAGCGCGACCAACAGCACCTGCAGCTTCGTCGACATTGCGATTTCTGCCGACAAATCGATGCGATGCGATGAGTATATGCGAGACGCCTCTCTCTTAAAATAATCGATCTAGAGTAGAATGGTCTCAGTTTTAACGAAGTTTGATAGCATCTGGAGCAGTGGTATCGTTATTTCAGACACGTTCCCGTTACTGGCAATTTACGAGCCTCGTAAACTATGACCCATTCATTGGAGGATACGTCATATCTTCGCGAGTCGCTCTAGAGAAGTTTGGCTTGTGTAATTGATCAAATTATAGCTACCACGATTTACAGGAAGAAGGATTTAACGTAAACTTCTATTTTCGCGCGTCCTCCACTTCTCTTTCTAGTAAGTAAGACTCCTGGAAACTTGGATTATCAATCGCCTTATTTGTCGATCCGATTCCATCCTTCGAGAAGGCATTTATCAGAAAAACTTCTAAAAGCCCCCCGAATTCCGTATGCAGCGCCGCGAGAGCAGTCGCGCGTAGAAAAGTTGAGATTTTTCTCGGAATAGATCCAAGTCTCTCTCTCTCTCTCTCTCTCTCTCTCTCTCTCTCTCTCTCTCTTGGTGCGCCGAAAAGGGGTTAATATCCCCGAGCTAAATCGGGTGCGAGCGGGCCTGAACGTGTAAATAAATCAGCCATCATTTCTCGCTCGTAAAATATGCTTTATCGCCGCGGCGTTCTTCAGTTGATGTCGGCGTGAAAGACGAATGACATTTCCGCGTGCGATCACACTCGTATACCGTCTCAAAAAATCGACTACGTAGTGCACACGCGCGCACGCACGCACGCACGCATCACGCACGCACCGACGAACGCGGGTCAATGCGAGAGATAAATCTCGCGGGGCCTTAATAGGAGCAACGAAGCGATAACCCAGATACTTGAAAATCAAGTCGCTACGGATACATTCGGACGAGTCGCGAACGCGTTTTTAATACGACTTCGTTACGACGCAGCGACGCCCGTCGCCGCCGTCTTTTCTTCAGCACGCGACGTCTCGTCCTCTTCGCTCTCGTTGCCTTTCGCGGATGATACAATTGGTTTACGCGTCGCCGCGACTTCATTGCTGCGCTTTAATAACGACGAAGGACGCGCGCATGTATAACGTAGCGTCAGCGATCGGTTGCCGGCTTCGTCAGCGATGAAATTTGAACGCGATGAGAAGTTTGTATAAGAGGCTCGCCTTATGCATGGATTAGATATGGATCGTATAATTTCCATAAATCTAATGCGCGCAAATTTCGAACAAATAATTATTTAAATATTGTTTGAAATACATACAAACACGTTGCGTGGTTGATAATTGTGAGATGCTCTTAAAACTAACAATAAGTCAGTAGATTAAGATATACAAACTTTTGTAAGATAGATATGATCGAGATTTAGAATGTTTTTTTTTATTGAACTCTTGACCGTATCAATCTTTTATTTTGATATACCTATCACAATCAGTCTACCGTTTAAAAAAGAGCGAGAATAAACTCGGATAACATGAAACTCGCGGTCTATATACATGTCGTCAGAACATAAATATCCTGATATCGTATGTGTATAGGCGTTTGGTTAATAAAACACGAGTGTTTCCTGTCGTATGTTAAACACATTACTCGGCTTACCCTGGAGTGTTCCGTCCGATTGCATTTACGATTCGAGATGTCTGTAGTTCGTTATAAGTCGGCGTTTCGAACGGCTCACGAATTCGGAGGGTAACGCTATTTTTTGCTCCTCGCCAATGTAGGAGGATCATATGATACAAAATAATCGGAGTCAGACACAAAATCGAATGTAATTTGTGTATATTTGCAGCGCATTGTGCAAACCTATATATATTTTCATTGTGGTACGTCCCATTTGCATCAATTTTGTAAATAAATTTTATCGAGTATTAGTACAGAGTAAACAAAAATACGTTTGTCATGTAATTATATACATGTCATGTAATTGACACGTATAGTATATTAATATAATTAAAATACTTAAAATAAAAAAATGTGAACAATAAAAAGATCGATCAAATATAAGGGCAGATAAAAATAATAGTACATAATAGTCCACTTCGCATTTTTCATTTACCAATTTAATTTCTTGATTCTCATAGTTTTTCTTCGTTATCAAACCATTGAATAAGTCGTGTCAGCCGTAGCGTACAAGATACATTCGGAGAAGTTAATCTTATCGAGTATTCGTGGCTCCGCAAAAATTGCGTAACACTTCGTTTCGAACCGCGTAGAGCCGGACCGAACGGGAGGAGAGTAAGGGTCTCCATATGCGTGACGGGTTAAGGTCTCGCGTCTTCTCCATATGGGGAACGCGCCGGTCGCAAAATCCGTCCGACGCTCATCTCGGCGGTCGAAGCGCGTCCGCGATGCGTCGCGCGGTTCTCCGGAAACGCCGGGTTCTCCAACGCGGCCGCGCGCGTAGGAATCGCACGCGCACGGGCACGTGGCCTCTTTTTCTTTTATCGCGCGGTCCGCCGCACGTGGGCGAAACACGCCTCTGCAAGTGGACGAAAGGAACGAAAATATAATTCCGGATAAACAGTAAAATCGTGCTGCCACTGTCGTTTGTTAACTTCGCACGCGGCAACGAAGTTCGCGTATCGCGCGGGTCAAAACCGTGGGTATCTGTAATATCAATACGTGCGCGCGCGGAGCAGATCTTTTATAATTACGTTTAAAATTTACACTAGTAAGTATCCAACAATATACAAAAAAGTTAGTAATACAATATATTTCAAAGCGCGATGAAATGAAAAGCAAACACGCGCGAGTAATTGCAGAATGATAATGAATTTTAACAATTAAAATAGACAATTATTAAAATGCTTTTGGTTTTATTTTTTTCCGAAAAGAGTAAATGTACATATTATACGAATAAAGTAAAATACTCGTATTTCCGTTAATCAAAGCGAAAAGCTTTGCAAAATACGGATAAATATCCGTATTTGGTACAGAATTAATGTTACCGATACAAAGTACAATAAGGTAGATGGAGACGTGTTTATGAAAATTTCATTTTCATTTTGTTCTCTATTTGAGTCTATTTAGGTCAGTTATTATGTTCATAAAAAGTCTAATCCCACATTAGAATTGGGAACGTCAATAACGCTTCTTCCCTAACCGTCTTATGTGCGAGCTCCGCCAACGCGGAATTAAAAGTTAATTAGTTTGCCGATGAGATACTCCAGCTGAATGCGTTGATTCGATTCATCTCGTTCAATCTGCTCCTCCGCCAGGCGGAAGTTTATGCGCGACGTGATATTATTACGAATAATAAAATGTATGGAACGCGTATGTATAGTGCGCTTAATGGAAAATTGCTTGTAAATCCGTTTCCGTAAAATAATTCTGGAGGTACAGGACCGCGGTATTGTTGCGAGAATTGCGTTGCGCGTAATATGACGATAATAGCTCGATCAAAAGAGATAGAAACGAGACTTTTTCAATAATACTATTTTCATCATTACTCTTGTTTTCTATATAAAGTACGATATGTGTGCGTGCGTTTTCCTTTGGAGGAATAAGTACTGAAATATAAAAGATATTCGCATAACGTCTTATCGATCTTAGTCTTGAACTCCCGGGGAGTTGCGGCATGGGAAGAGGTCGAATAAATGGTCTTGCTGGAAATAACAAGTGGGGAGCATCACTTCTATTTTAAGCCGTCAATAGAAAATTGCGAATTTTGCACTTTTAATTTACGCTCGCTGTCGATCAATTGATTTATTTTTCATTCATAACTTTGTGTGACACTTAAATCGACACGCGATGTAATGTAACTTTAAACGTAACGCGATATTTTTAATCAACGGATCGTAAGACACTATGATAACACATCTTTCTCTTAATTCGCGCAACGATTATATATGGTCGCCTCAATGAACAAAGGATGTTGGATTTCCGTTCTAGAAAGGACGATGATTTCCGAGAAATACGTGACAAGAGATAAGTATTGCGAGTACGCCCACTGATATAAAACGTTCATCGTATGCACTTCTGGGCAAGTGACTCACGTTAACCGCTGTATGTGAAAATTAATACGGTTAAGATATACTTTTATTGCGGTAATTTTATTTGGAGTACATCATTTTTATCTTTCTCAACTTATGTTACTCAAGCTACGGCGATACTTTCAATCTGACGATAAAAATTAACGTGCAAACTTCGAGAGATAAAAACTAATTCTGCTGTGCGAAGCTGAAGAAATTTCGTTAAAATGAGAGAACCATTCATGAATAGCTCGATGTAAAGACCTTTTTATACATGTTTAAATTCTGACTACACCAAGTGGCAGTCTATTTACATACTTTCATGTGCGTCTATATGCGCGATTATATATACCTACTTTTCGTAATTCAAGTAACTGCTTATTCTACAATATGATATCGTTCTTCATTTGTAAACACTTAAAAATAATTTTTTTACTAAATAAAAAAATTAATTTAATATTTTTAATAAATTCTGTTTAATTTTTTTTTATAAATGTTCAGGAATAATCTCGGCATCGTTAGCAGTAACAATATATTAGATTATTAGAAGATACTAGTATATGCTTGTAAAAAAATCATCATTTATCAATTTAGATTATTTTAAATATATGGAATTAATGTACATTTCCAAACATGTTTTAATAAGACACGCAAGCAGTTGAGGCTCATCGTTTAAACGTAGAAACATTTTTAAAATGATAATTTGGTAAGGCGATGCAAAATGGAAGTCACAAGACGACCGTACACGTACCTCGCGTTGACTTTCTTCGCAAACCGCTTCTCGTCGCTCGCTCGGGTCTCTTCCTCAGCAAGAAAGATTGAGAAAAGAATAGCCCTCCAAATCGATCGCTGGACCGGTACCGACTGCGTCCGCGAGGCACATCGCGGTCGCGGTGCGATGTTGCGCCGCGCCGAGCGGAACGCGGCGGCCGGAGAGGAGAGATGATCTCATCTCTCGCCGCTCGCATTTTTCTCTCTTCCTACACACCCCCGATCTTTCCGTCATACGCGTGTGCGTATGCCCGTCACATTCTTACGCAATGCAATGCGACCGATGTCGAGACCAATCGCCTCGGCGAGAGATCTCGAATGTTCTCATTCGTCTCGATGAATTTCAACGTTGGCACCCTCGAAGGGTTGCTCTGGAACTTCGGAAACATTCTAACAAAGGATGATGTTAGTCCGACGGGCGAATAACCAAATTGTTAAAACATTCCTGCATAATTTGTTCTAATTATGCCTAAATTCGTCCCCTAAAAATAGTGGTGTTTTAATTGAAATTATAAATTCCTAAGTAAAACGTAAAAAATTTAATAATTATAGAAAAACACTTTTTTAAATCGTAGTTTCGATCGATTGAAAAAATAATAAAATAAAATAAAAACGAAAAGTTTGCATTGTATCTATTTTTGTCAAAATTCGCTCACATTCGAAATATTCCCGTATGAAAAATTAGAAATTCAGCGTGCAGATAATATTGACATTATTCTCGTAATTCACTTTATTCTCAATCCGCCATCGAATGCTGACGAATCCGCAGTGTTCAGCAAAACCGATTACAGAGGAAACGTGACTCTACGTGCGCGAGGCCAGCTAATAAAGTTCCGTACGTAACCAGGTGAGCGTGTTGCGATAAATAAAGTGATGCTATAATAGGGGTTGGTAGTATAAGGTAAGTATATATATTATACTAAATGCAAAAAGTTACAATACATTTGATGTTCGTTATTTTTTTCCACTTTTTTTTCTCCTTTAACATTATCCTCCCCTCCGTCTTTTATCGCAGTAACGTTTGTCAATTGGTTATACACACAAACTGGCCTAGCAGACCGAAATAATAAAGTATGCTACAAAAATTCATAACTTATCAACCGCCATCCTTTTAATCATTATTACATAGTTATTTGTGTTTTCTCCATATCCTCTCTCTTTCTCGTCTCCCTCTCTCTCTCTCTCTCTCTTTCCTTCGTTTGTTATTAATATTTATATCTTCATTATTATTAATATTAATAGTTACTTAAAAACGAAAACATTCACACTAAAAATTTGCAGAGCTCTCTTTCAAAGTTATAGTAAAGCGATGATCTCGCGTAACTGCGGCTTTGAACACGTTGTACTTGAACACACGGATATGCACATGGATAAGGACGTAGTGAAGTCAAACGACGCGCGCGGTGAGCGTACAGTGTGTAGAATATTTTTATATTTAGGTGGCACGCAAAAATCGGAAGTCATAATCTGCGATTTCAAATATTAAACGACTATGTCGCTCAGCTTAAAATATTTTTTCTCTCTCTCTCTCTCTCTTTCGCTCTCTCTATGTCTGCATGACACTATGCTGACTGATAAAGAAGGTATCGGATGCGTAATCGGTCTCGAGTTGGGATAAAAATGATGGAGATCTACCGTTTAATGTACAAGAGGATCTAGAATGACAATTCTCTCTTAGCCATACAAATATCCGTTTAAATATGCTCTACATATGTATACAAAGTTGAAGCTGCTGGCGCTTCAATGTCTCTCTTTCTAGTGTCACATTTATATCTCGCACATACCGTGAAAAGGGAAACATTTTTACCACTGCAGTATATTAATTTAAAATCTCGTTTAAAGCGACGAATATATTTGCTAAACGAAGTGCAAGTCACTTTTTGCAAAAATTTTGTCTTAACTGAGCATGAGCTGTACCTAATATCACCATGCTATATTCAAGTTTAGCTCTTTCTTTAACACTTTAACTGCCGTATTACAGATACTTGTATTTCCTTGGGAATTATGGCACTTATGATAATATGAATAGCTTATTTTTAATTCGTATTTGCCGTTCATAACGTGACTGAAGCGAGAGGTAAGATTCTTAATTGTATCCGGATGCCATGGTTTCCAAGAAATAGCAGATGAAATTTCAGTCCAAGTGTTAAGCGACTTCGCAACGAATAACGCGATCACATTTGGTATGTGTTTTACGTGATGTTAAAGAGAACGTTCATGTAAACGATATAAATACATTTATTAACCATTTTTTGAAAGTATATAAAAAAGATATTCTTAAAGATAATAGCTCAAGTAGATTGAAATTTTCGCATTTGAATAAAATCCGATTGAATGTCCAAATGAGAGTGACATGAAAGTGACTGTGTCTTAATTTCGCGAGCCTCTCTTTCATAATCATACACGCAATATTTTGCCGCAAGGAAGAGAGAAGTGATAAAGTTGAGTGCTCCATCCTGTATATTTCTAGTTCAAATTTAATGATCAGTTTTTCTTTTTTTTCATCCTTTTTTTTAACAATATTATAAAGTATGCCAATCGTACGTGATAACTATTGACAAAAATTCCGGAAAACGTTTTCGCGCGTTATTATACTAACTTATAAAGAGAAAGGACCTGAAATGTATAGAGTCTTTATTACTTCCTACGTAGCGTTTCTATTTTAATACCTATAACGGAAATATGGATAGGCTTAAGATTGTAAGATGTTACATACCCGACGCGTGTTTGAGCCGCTCGCCGGTTTTACTCGTCCTTTTACATTTTTGTATTTTTTCTTACTACATTCCGGAAAAAGCAAATCGCAGCCACGCGAAACCTATCCCTTTATCCGCGTCTGCGTCAGAGCGGCCGCGTTATCGTCGCCGCCGTTGTCATTATCAGTCACTGTCAGTCTGTCATCGTTACCGTTATGTCGTCGCCGTCCCGAGTCACGTTAAATGAGACACCAACATAGCGCATATCATATTACATGACAAATATTAATTATTACTGAATGAAAAAAAATTTCGATAGCTCTCTTGTTGGTCGATCTTCACAAAATTTTTGTAAGTTTCATTCTCTTTGCAGTTCTTTTTTTTTCTCATTACCCACTTATTGTAGCTCTTCGATGTTCAGATTAGCAGGCCTTTTTTCAAAATCCTCTAATGATTTGAATACGTTTTGCCCTTCTTCATCGATGTGTTATTCTCTGTAATTCAAGTTTTTCATTTCGTAGCTGATTCTCATACTTCTGTCGGGTTTTGTAAATTCGACTCGGGAGATCTTCGTTACAAAAGCGTCTCAAGTAAATTCCAGTTTTTTCAACAATTTTTGTAATTTATTTGCGTTGCCAATGCCGTTTGCTTTGCTGATTCATTGTGTACAAATCACTTTATACTTTATTACTACAATCATTACTAATGATTAATATTCGTCATGTATAGTATTAAACGCGCGATGTTTCATTAGAGTGCATGCTTTAAAAAAATGTTAAACGAGGCGGGAGGCCCCCCGAAGAGGGGGGCGCAGTCACCGTGTCCCAGACGCGGGCATTGCGACGAGTTTTTCTTTTTTTTTTATTACTTTTTTTTCTTTTCGATTACAAACTACTGCGGATGTGGAGTCGCGCTCGTGCGTGATCTGCGTTAACAATCTCCGATGATCTTGATCACGTCGATGAGAAATACAAACTAACACAAACTTTCTTTCTTTCTCTTTCTCTCTCTCATGCTCTCTCGTTTTCACTCACACACACACACACACACACACACTCTCTCTCTTTCTCTGTTTCTTTCTTTTTCTCACTACTTTATCGTCAAGTACAAATTTTTAATGTTCTTTCTTTTCTCAAAAATGTAAAAGCAAATTAAAAATTTGTTCGACGTTATACTTTTTGCGACTGTGCCGCGTGAATTTCAGAGACCGTTTCGCTTTCAAAATTCGGTTAGCTTCGTAAAGGAATGAGGCTGATAGGCCAGGAGAGACGCATCGCCCAATCTCTAATAATCGCAGGACCCAACTCGCGCATTGCTTGTGAGCGTTGTCACTGACTAGAACTCTCGTTTCGCTTCATGCCCTAAGCAGTCCGCGGTATATTAATTATATTTCTTCAAGAAATGCGAACAGATAATATTGTCCAGAGAGAAATTGGTGCGTCGTGTTTCGAAAAGGATGTTGCTCCTGCAATGGCTTGCATAGCGCGAAAATGTTCTGCGTTGTCGCTACGTCGGGACGCATTTCCGCACTCTGTGCCAATTATGGTTCACATTTAATGCTCAGCGTAGTGGTGAGCTCTGCGATTACCAGAAGACATTATTGACCCTCGTAAAAACGCTGCCACGCAACTGATAATTTATAGCGATCGGGCGATACAACACGTCAGACCATGCGCGTGCGCGATCCTTACTAACTTCACCTAAACGAAAGTAATAAAGTTGTGTATGTGAGGGAGGGGGAAAGGGGGAGGAGGTAGATGCTAGAATAGAAAGAGTCCACAAGAGATGACAGAGCAGCGTAGAAAGGTGTTAGGAGAATGTAATTGTTTCTAAAAGAAAAAGGATAGAGGAAGGAAGGTGAGACCAGGAATAAGGTAGGCACGAACAAAAAGTTCCGAAACTGCAACGAGACGAGGCCAGGATTTGTATGCTTGTATGCGGATGGAGCGAGGGGGAAAAACGGCGAGACCAGTTGCTGCAGTCTAAAAGCATTGTCCTGTTCTACGATCGATACCGGTCAATCGATGATCGGCAATATAAATAAAGGAGAAGATCGTAGAAGAAAAGAAAACTGTCGCCTTTCCTCTTCGTTTTTTTTCTTCTTCTGTCGCGTGCAACCGGGACACAGTCTTGGGATCCTGTAGTTCGTTTCGTCGTAGGGATTCGTTCTGTGCGATTGCTACCTACGCTGGCTTCTTGGAGGCGGGCAACGGGACGTTTTCGTCAGCGGTTGATGAGTCGACTCGAAAGCGTACAAGAGATTTACGCATGTCACAGCGACGTTCCGTCGTCCCTTCTTTCGCTTCGATTTCGCTTGATCGCCCCTCGCTTGGTTACGTGGGTGTGCATGCACCGGAATTCGCTCCGCTGCCTTTTCGTCCTGCGATCTGGCGAGCCGGAGGAAACGCGCGGAGTGACGAATGTTGCGCACTACTCTGAAACCGCCTTAGTACAAAGAGTTCCGACACAATTTCCCCGATTTCAGATCACGTTCCGCTGCCTTTTTTTTCCATTTGCACTAAAATTTGCCACACTCCGACAACGTTCTCCTGTAAGCTCTTCTCGGACCTGTCGCACGGCTGCACACGTGTACGTGTATGTATACATGTGTCTATGACTGCGTTGTGAGTACTTTCGCGTCGCAAAGTCCTACGGGGATTGCCCGATTGTCGATGTACGAAGGACGAATTCGAACCAATGATCCTCGCTTGCCTGACCGATGATTTGTAGATACACTACACCACTGGAGCTCAAAGTCTCGCGCGAGAAGTGCGATATCCTCGTTCGGTCCTCGCTCGAGATTTCGATTGGCACGCCATTCATGTTCGAGCTCATGTTTCGTACGACTTTCTTTTTGAGCTACGTCAGCTAATGTCGGTTGTTGCTGCTGCTTGACGAACGCGTTGTTGCGAGCGACGTTTTAAGCATTTATGAGACTGGCGTCAGTGATGAGGTCGTGCGACATACGAAATAGTCCTGGATTCCGCTTCTCGAAATGAAGATGGCGAATGCGTGATACCGGTGACTTTATTCAATAGACGAAATTAGAAGGGGATCTTGCGACTGTTGCGTAATGTGGCCGGTATTAGCGACGGTTTTGGTAGCCGGGATTGCTCGGATTGCCTGGCTGTCGCATGCCACCCCTACCGCCGTCGCCGCCCCGTGAAAAACCTCCACGGCCACCTCGTGCGCCATGCTGTCCACCTCTCATCACGCCTCCGGGTCCACCTGATATCAAGTCAATAACGAATCAGTAAATAAAACAACAATTCTAATCAATAATTTGGAGAATATAGTCCGGAAATTACCTGGTCCACGTTGCTGCTGCTGTTGCTGCTGTTGGCCGCCCATGGAGCGCATACCGCCGTCGCCGGAGTTCAATCTGCCGCCACTACCGTCTAACATGGGCCTGGGTCGCACCTTCTTTTCCTCTACATTTAACTTTTGTCCACTCTCGTCAGGATAATAGATAGGCTGAAGTAACGATCGTAATGAGAGCAACAAGTACCATCTTTATTAAACGAGCCGATATATAGGTATAGAAGATGAACTTACCAGAGAATTTAACACCTTAGTCACAACCTGTTGATCCTCGAACGTGATAAATCCATAATTAGGTACTCGAGCGGTGTTGTTGCCACCTTGCGGACCTTTGCATCTGTCGTTCGATTTACTGTGTACACGTAACTCAGCGACTCTACCGTAACGCTCGAATACTTGGCGCAAATCATTCTCGGAGGCATTGTGTGGTAAGTTGCCCAGGAAAAGTTGATGAGCGTCGCTGTATTGTCCCGGTCTTGTGCCACGACGTTCTCCATCTAAGATATATTATCATATGTAGCAATATAAAGCACCTATTTTTAAAAAATAAAAAATGAGAGATATATAAAATAAGATATATAAAAATAAGATATATGTAACAATATGTAAAACAATATGTAAAACCCTCTGTAAAACAATGCCCTATTAAAAAATAAAAAATTAAAATAAATTAGAAATTAACACAAAAATAATCAAGACTGATAGGATTGTGCGTTTGAAAAAAATGTATCCCCATTATTTTAAATATGAAAGTTTATACTCTGCATTAATTGGCTTCTAAATTCATTCGTTCATCTTATTTTTATTTATCTCGTCCCCTCTGTATTAGTCCCCTTAGTTCCCAGTACATTTTACCTCTTTGCACTAATCCCCCTCTTGGAACGCGCTGCTGCTGAGGATGCTGTTGTTGTTGCGGCGGCTGATTTCCGCCCACTCGATGCGCCTGTTGCTGAACTGCAGATACATTATTGGACACAGACATAGACGTCGGTCCGTTGTTTGCAGGATGCAATGGCGATCTGTCGTCCAAACGTAGATTCGTCATTGGTGGCTGCAAAGAGAAAGAAAATTTATTCGTCCTCTTCTTCATTGCAAATTCATGACAAATCATCATGACTGCGCAAAAAAGGGACTCACCGGAGACATGGATAACTTTGGAGCTTGTGGGCTGGTAGCACCCGTAGTGACACCAGTGGGGAAAGATTTTACCAAGGTAGCGTACGTCTTGGGTCCACTGCTGTTCACAGCCGCGCTAGACACCTGATGTTCAGGTTCGGTCTCCTGCGCGGATGCAGTAAATGCCTCTGTCTCGGGCTGCTCGTTCCTCTCCTCCGCCTGAGCCTGCGGCTCGCTCTCGCTCTGCTGCTGCGGCTGCTCGCCATTGCTCAGCTCTGCCTCCTGCACGAATTGAGACTGAGCGGTTTGCTCAGCTATATATGGATGTTGCTGCGCCGGAGGCGGTGGCGGCGGTTGTTGCTGCTGCTGTGGCGCCTGCTGATTGATCACCTCCTCGTGCACCGTTCCGTTCAACACTTGTTGTATAACCGGATGAACCTAACCGATAAAAACAAACGAACAAAAAATAGAGAATTACAAATAGAATCATATTATTAAACAAAATCATGAAATCGGGCGAATTTAATTCTTTACAAATTTAAATCGAAGCTGAACAGAAAAAAAAACTGTTGTACATTACATATAAAATATTAAGCAACTCTCAAACAACACTTAATTTTTCGACTGCAATGATAATTCGTCATGTTTGTAATACTAACATGGGGTTGCGGTGGCGCAGCGTAATACATCGGCTGCTGTTGCTGCAGCGGAGGTTGCTGAGTCGGAATGAGAGGTGGTTGAGCTTGCTGTTCAGCGGATTGAGTAGGAGCCGACAGTTGCTGCGCTTGAGTCTGATGTTCATCTTCCTCGGGTTCAGATCGGCCGATTTCCTCCACCTCTCTCTCGCCACTCTCACCGCTATCTCCGGCACTCACGTCAGCCTCATCCTCATCCGGAAATATCAAGTCTTGATAGCGGAAGATATCATTGTGCACGTAGTAAGTTTTAGGTGCTTGCACAGCCAATACAAAGGTCTGAGTGAACCGACGCATCGGTTGACCAGCGTTAGACAGTTCACCGGATACCTACGCAATAATCGGAGATAAATACACGTAATTATATATTCGGTAATAATTCTTGCGTAAAGTCCAAGTAATTTACCTGGACAACAACTCCATTTTCAAGAGTAAGCTGAGAATCGACTTGGCTTATTTTGGCATGGCAATCACGAAAGTTCAGTTGTTGGATCTTCTGATGTATTTGTTTTTGACCGATTGCCGGGGTACACTCTCGATTAGAGTCCAATCCGCCGTGCACGAAGGAAGAATGCTGATTGTAGAACCTAATCGTAATATTTGTAATAATTGTTACGTGTTTAAAATATTCTTCGACGGGAGAGGAGGGGGGGAGAGGGGGAATAACGCGTGGATTCGTGTAAAAGCGATCGACAGCGTAGTTGGTAGATCGCGGATTCGATCGTGACCTTCATTCTACATTATATAAAATTAAGTTTATAAGAGGATGAAATACAAACTCGCCAACGTACATGACTAGCGCGACGCGTTTTACATAGTCAAAACAAAAAACTCCAAATATTATGAAGGAAAACATTTAAGGAGACCTATGTGTAACAGTGACTTTGGCGAGACATCAACGACTGTTTATTATTATCGTTAAATTGTCATTATTCCTCGAAATAAAATTTGAGCTTGTTGCAGCAGATAGGAAAGTTATAAGTGTAGATTAAATTGAAAAAAAGATATAGAGAGCTTAGATAACATCACACCTGTGGAGATGGGCAGGCGCCTGATTCAGCAACGTATAATACTGTCGGACGAACTCGCGACCGACACTTTGTGGAGAAGGAGATGCCTCCATGACCATTTTCTTATTTTTTAATCTTCTAGAATATTCTTTCGCTGGGAACAGTAAACTAAACGTTCAAATGTAAAATCTTAAAATTATTAAGGCAGATATCTGAAACAAAGAGAAATACATTTGTTAGAGAGAGAGCATCATGATATAATCAATAAATTATAAAATAAAAAGAAAATTATTGAATCTGCGAGTAGGGCATTAAACAATTTGTAATACAATATTTATAAATATATCATAGTTTTTCTTGCGCATCAATGTAACTCGATAGAATAATTCAGAACGTGTATAATATTAATTATAATATTAACATTATTAATTTATAAAATCGAGCAAATAATAATCAACTACTCAAATAAAATCCCTCTCAGAATATAAAGTTGTTCTTATCATTACAATTAAATACAAATATTTTTCGTTATGCATATGAATTTTCAGAAATAAAAAATTCATAAAATTTTTTCAACAAAAATTTATTTATCACGTATGTGTACATAATTTTTCGACATAAAAATGAATATTGTGTGTGTCAATACGAAAGAACTCAAGCGCCAAGTTTCATCGTCTTGGAACATTTCCGTCGCAGACATTTTGAGAGTATATTAAACGCACGCACACGCACACATTCATTATGTATGTGTATATGTATTATAATTCACGGTGTACAATATAAATGCGTTGTAACTCATTGACATTTTATAATTCCGCGTCTGGTCGGATTTCAAATTGACTGGCCGATTAATTCGGTGCCTGTACTACTGTGCTAAGAATTACTTCCGCGCGGCGGCGAAAAATTGCGGGATTTTCCACGCGGCGACCGCAGAGTCTTCGAGCTGTTCGAACTCGAGGCATGCACACACGCGGTCGCGTTTTACCCCCCGGCAGGTAGAGGTGGGTATCCATGGGGACACATGCCCCTGGGGCTCCCGAATCCGTTTCCCTCCCGACGGCAGCCTCGGCGTGGGATTAATCGCGAAGGCTCCCGAAATCCCCGTCCCGTTACGCGGCGCGCAAATAGGTAATCGGAGCGATACGGCGTGCGGCGAACACAAAGGGATTGGCGACGCGCGTAGCTCGGCGAAGCGCATGGCAAAATTTTCGCATGCCACCACCTCTCCTCTCTTCCCCCTTCACCACCAAGAGGTCCTCTTTCTTTGTCTCTCTCCTCTCTCTCTTCCTCCACGTTCCCGACCGCGCTCTGGACTCGGCTGTATTCCGCACAAGCACGTGTCTCGTCAAACCTCGAAACGGAGGGATCCGTTTCTTCGCGCGTCCCCATCCGCGGAGCAGGGCGAAACAAAAAAGGGACGAGAGGATCGCGAGGCGCGAGAGAGAGCACGCCGAGACGAGAGCGCGGATGCGATGGGAGAGGGAGATAAAGAGAGAGAGAGAGAGAAAGAGAGAGCGCGCGGTCGCGCCCGGTCGCTCGCGCAAGCATGGCGATGTTTCCCCGATGCCCTGGCACGGGAACACGCCAACGCGAACGAGACGCGGCGTCGAGAGGCCCGTCGGACGGGCGGCGAGGTCGGGATCCCCCCCACCCCCCTCCTCCTCCTCCTCCTCCCTCCCGTCACGGCAGCTAGCCCGCGGGGACGCGATTCCACCGTGCGAAGGCGTGCGTTCTCGCCTCGTGCTACGGAGCTCGAGGGAGCGATCTCGACGAACGGGCGATACCTCCGCGGACCGACAACGACGACGGCGGCGGCGGTGGCAACAGCAGGGCGCGGGGGTGGGCCTTACCTGATTTCAGGCGCTCTCGCGTGCGGGCACGGGGACGCAGCTCCTTGGGGGGGCACCTCGGCACGGACCGGCAGCGGCTGCTTTATCGCGCGGGAAGCCGACGGTGTGTCGCGAACGGTTTCCGCGAGGATTGGTTTGATGCCCTCGAGCGATCGTGCGAACGCCACAGACACAGGAGCCCGCGGTTTCGTGTGGTATTTAATTATAAAAACAGTTCGCGGTGTTTCGTATGTATATATTTCGTCGGGCTGTACGCGGCTTACTTGTACTGTGTGTGTAAGTGGTATCGGCGGCACTGTGTGTCAGCAAATGCGCGCAGAGCAGCGCCAGGAGGAACTGGCGGACACACGGAGGCGTCGTTCAGATACAGACGGGGCGCATCAATCCGGCAGTACCGGAAGCAACCCGAGCGCCGGTGTTGGAAAGCGGAAAGCGCGAAACGCCGATGCCGATTGGCCCAAAGTGATGTTATTCCGCTCGCTCGGCCCGAGCACTTGCCGAGTTGCCGCGCACGCGTCACCTCCTCCTGCCTCGACGGGTCGTCGAATGAAAACGCGGCTTTTCGAATGACAATTAATTTCTTCGCCTTTGCACGTGTGTTGCAGACTTGCAGCTCGTGCAGTTGTTTCGGTAAAACAGGAAGCTGTCGAAAAAAACGTAAAGAAGCAATCATTAAGTCTTTCTCTTGAACTTTAACTGCGTTTCAGGCAGATCACAGATTTCTTAGTCCCGAAGCACAATAGATGTAAAGCCGGTTCTACATTAGGGCGAATTCACACCTTGACAGAAAAGCAGAAGCCAATCAGAACTGGTAGCAAAAAAAGCAGAAAGTAAAAACTATTGACTACCAACGCGAATTCTGATTGGCTTCTGCTTTTCTGTCAAGATGTGAATTCGCCCTTAGTTGCAAGCCGATTGCAAGCTTGTTACGACAGCCAATCCGAAGCATTGATTTCAAAATGCAAGCTTCAGATTGGCTGTCGCAACAAGCTTGCGATCGGCTTGCAACTAATGTAGAACCGACTTGAGAAGCCTTCAGCCTTAAGAAATGGACCAATCATAATCTAATGTGAAGGGAATAATCTTTTATGATTGGTCAATTTCTTAAGGCTTAAGGCTTATCACACGTATTATGTTTCAGGACTTATGTATCTAGAAGTATCTAGAATGATTTAGAAATTGCGAGGCATCGCATCTAGGTGTTTATTATACATCGTGACTATTAAATTCAATTGCTTCAAATTACATTGCTCGAACCATCGGTAAGAAAATAAACAAAAAAATAAACTAATTGCTAAACAGTCACGCTAATATAAAGTAGCATATCCAGACAAACTTGCATAACTATATGCATAAAGAAAATCAATCCAATATATCGCATTTTACGTGTGTTCTTGTAATAGAAATGCGATTCGATAATTTTCTTTATGCATATGATTAGGCAGCTATGCAAATTTGTCTGGATAGGCCCTTAAATGTCGTCAGAAAGACAGAGCGTATATACAATCTGGACAAAGTCGTGACTTCCACGTTGTCCAATCAGAAGCGAGCAATGCGGTGCGCACGTCTGTTCGTACTAAACGGGACGCAATTGGCTAGTTTAGTTCTGTTATCTATATACTGCATTATAGTCATATGAAATAATCACAGGACGCGTATCTGAATCACACGGAAAATATATATTTGAAGTAGATATATGTCGTAGAGAATTGCGTCAGAGTTATTTCTTTCAGTTTCAGTCGCGAAACTCGGACAATCCGCGTCACTTACTCATCGGCTTTCGGATTCCGTGATCACATATCTATACTTCGACAAACGAATATCTCATTTATAATATAGCTTCACGTATTTAAACCAAAGAGTTTATATACATAGAGTAGGGGAGACCTGGCGGCGCCTTTGACTGGAACCGTGAGCTGATAGAAAGAGAAAGAAAATGGAAGAGCGAAGGGTACATCCATCTTTTATCTTTTTCTCGCATGCGCAATTGAACAAGGATGCAGATGGGCGACTCGTTTTCTGTCTCTTTTTATGTGCTCACGCATTCTTAGCTGGCTCCTCTATACCTTGATTTAAACGCGTTGTTTATTTTCGCGAGCCTCGGAGGAATAATCTCAACGAGGAGGCAGAGAGATGGATAGACCGATATAGAATCGAATCGCAGCAATTCGCAGTATCCGGCAGACTCCGCGATTTGGAACAATCGGAGCAGTCTACTTTGCTTCGTATCTGCTTGGAGCGCTGACGGGCGCACGTTTCTGCGTTCTCTCGACGGTGCAAGTCTCCCCTCCTCTCCCCCCCCCCTCAACCCGTGCGAGAGTTTCCCCGCGGCGCCATGGTTGCGTCGTCGCGCGAAGGTGTCCACTGTCTCGGGGACGAGTCAGCGAGCGGCGTGTGAGCGCGTGAGCCCGAGGCGGATTTGCCGATGATACGGGATACGCTGGGTGATCATGTTCAGGGTGATCATGTAGAGCTCGCGGCGAGCCCGGTCAGGCGTTTCCGTGATTACCCTTGAGCGCAGGAACCGGCTCGCGTGTTGGCGACGTTGTAACAAACGAGCCAGTTCGCGCGTTCCATGACTTCTCCACTCGATCACACGTGAGTAGAACGCAGTTTTGACACTTGGCCCCGCGCGACGCGACTCGCGCGCGAGAGGACGCGGTCGACCCGCGACCGCTTCGTTCGTCCGTCCGTCGGTCTCTCCGCCAGCGAGTGGTTCACGCGAAGCCGAGGGAACCGATAGCGTATGCCGGACTCGGACGGACGGGAAAGCTCGCGCACGTGAAAAAAAAAAAAAAAAGCCCGCGTTCCCCGTCCGTCTGTTCGACGCTACGGCACGTAGGACATGGTAACGTGGTTCTAGGTTGACAGAAGATGACAGTATTAGAAACGGAGGAAGACGCAGATAAACGCTCGGTTCCTCCCAGAAAGAAGTTCTGCCTGTCCCTGTCAGGTCGCGGACGTGCAATTCCCATCGTCGTCCCGCAGCCCCCTCCTACTTCCACGAGAGGGGGCCTTCTGGATAGAACGGATTTTTCATTTAGTACGTATGCCTCTCTCTCTCTCTCTCTCTCTCTCTCTCTCTCTCTCATTTATTTGTAACGACACCTTATTGCATTGGCGATCAATGTATAACCTTAATGAGGCACATTTTTGATCGCGTAACAATGATTTTTATGAAGGTACAAGCAAAATGTTGAATGGCTATCGAAATCAGCTGAGCAATCACCAGGATGGAAATTACGACATGTCTGGTGCCAATACGGAAGGATTGAAGATAGCCACTTTATGCAATCTGGGAAATACCTGCTTCCTCAATAGTGTATTATATACTTTAAGATTCGCGCCTTCCTTTCTGCACAATTTACATCATCTAGCCACTGATTTGTCTAACCTAAATGACAAGCAACTTCAGACAAAAGTAAGTAACCACATAAACAGATTGATTTGTTCTAAAAAGAAATATTTTTTTTATGTATATGTGTACGATATGCGTCCGAGTTTTAAATTATTATCAACCTTTTTTCGTGCAGGCCAAATCTTCCTCATTAGGTAGAACCGGTGTATCGCTAACATCGAGCAGTAGTCGTAGCTGGAGCAGTAAAGATCTACTGGCATTAGCTGGATCGACAGCAGAGGCCAATAAACCACGTATTCAAATAGCCACTGAGAGATTACACGAGCTTTTTATGGCGCTACGAGCATCGGAGATGAGAGAGAACAGCGAACCGTACCAACCGGATGCCTTTTTACAAGCTCTTAGGTGTGTACACCGTTGTTAAAATGTCGTACACGTGTCTTGCGTTGGCATTGTCCTCATATTGATTTTGTTACAGAGAAGTAAATCCGATCTTTGAGGGAAATCAGCAGCAGGACGCTCATGAGCTTCTGGTCTGCTTGCTCGACAACATCAGGGAGACTTTCCAATTACTTGTCAGACACCGAGAGAGCCAATTCGGCCAGAGCAACGGCGGTTTTCCAACCGAATTTATCACGAATCACTCGACGTCGGACCGGTCGGACGCACAGTCGGAGAGCGGTTACAGCAGTGCCTCCGGGTCATCCAAGAGGAGCATTCGCAAGTCTAGGAAGAAGAAGAAGATCACGAGCAAAGGGAATTCGGTGTCTGTCGCGCAGCCAAACGCGAACGGCGTAGGAGGATCCGCGAGGCTGTACGAGAACGGTCACGCAGAGTTTGAGAGCAACGGCGACATAGGAATACGTAAGCCGGAGAGCAAGAAATGTTTCATCTCAGAGGATTTTGAGGGTGTCAGCCTATTGCGCACGACATGTCTCGAGTGCGAACATGTGACGGAACGGAAGGAGACGTTCTGCGATATATGCGTTCCCATTGACATCGATTGTTCAAACGAGAAAGGTGCGTAATTAATTTCTCTTTACACACACACACACACACAGATAAAAGAGTAGGAGTGTGTTATTGTCATTTAAGCAGGTGCGACATTCGTTTTTATGTCTCGGTAAAATTTTTTTATTAGCGTAAACATTTCACATTTTATATAGTTAATCTACGATGCATAGTAATGTGACTTTCCTTTATAGATGACGATGGTGAATTGGTGGATAGCAGTGAGGTATACAAACGCGCTGTAGTGACTAGTGAACTGCTTTGGGGTAGGGACAAGTACTGGTGTGCACGGTGCCTACGATACAATGAGGCTCGCAGAGCCGTATGTTTTCCCTCCTTACCCAGACTCCTCGTCTTGCAGTTGAAGAGATTTTCTACTGCCGCTGGGTAAGTCTCGTGCGGTCTTCAAAATTGTGTATTAATTTTCTTCAAGGAAATTCGCACAATACATAACTTTGCTTTTGAATCCTTGCATTCGTATTACATCGACGAAGCGACTTTCGCGATATTTCCCCCCGCGTCGCGCGATTGCAACTGAATTTACCTTTTCAGTTCGATGGAGAAAATCAATAATCACATGCCAACGCCGCTTACTTTGCAATGCTTCTGCGAGGAGTGCAGCAACGACGAGACCCATGGGACGACGGCTGGCAGCACGGAGACGCGACACGTGTACAAATTATACTCGGTTATAATGCATCAAGGTGCAACGATGACCGCCGGGCATTACGTCGCTTACACACGTTTACCCGATGAACCCGCGTACGCGGAGTACTCCCAATGTGATCGCGACAATAAGCGGCAGAACTCGAGCCAGGTCGGTGCCGCGAGCGCGAACTCGTCGTCCGACAAGCCGACGGGCATACTCAAGTACTTCAGGAGCAAGCCCAGCGCGAACGAGAACAAGGAGCAGCCCGTGAACAGGGTCGGCTGCCGTAGTATGGACTGTTGCGGCATCAGGCGAAATAAGCAGGGCGTCACCTGGCTGGAGTGCGACGACGAGGCGGTACACGTGATCCCGCAGCGAGAACTCGAGGACAAATTGGCGCCCAACGCGCGGAATTCCGCCACCCCGTATCTCCTGTTCTACGTGAGGTCGACGACGTAAGCCGCTTGTTTTTCGTTTCCCCGGCGCGTCGGAGGTTCAATATCAAAATGCCTCCGCTTGGAGGATCCCTCCAAGCGGGACAGCAGCGAGCACACGATGACAAAAAACGGGCCTCGTTCTTCCCGTATTCGCCCTCTTTCTCTTCTTCTCCCCCTCCACCCCCCCCCCCCTCTTCCTCCTTCGTATTTTCCAACGACCACACTGTGATGTATATCGCACATTCCAGACCACTCGAGTTCTTCTTCCTGTATACATGCCGCATCGGGCTTTAGAGACGCGAGCGTGTATTATTTTCGTAGGGAATAAAATTGAAAACTGTCTGTCGCCAGTCATGTTGTATACACGTTAGATTTCCCGGCGATCGGCCGGCTTACGCCGAGTCGACCTCCGTACATCGCGTAACGAATGCTCGACGTAACGAATCGACGGAGCGATCGAGCGCCGTGATTCCGCGCGTAGACAACCTATAGCCTTAGTTGGGACGTGGAACGTTTTATTATTGAGTTACTCTTATTGTAAAATAATAAAAAAAAATAATAATTATGTATTCTTGACATACACCTGTCTACCACTGTGTGCTATGTGCCGTATCGCGAGATGGAGGCACCTGACCCGATCACCTCTTCACCCCGAGGAAGTCTTGCGACGCGACTTTATATCCGATGGACGTCATTGGCGACGTAGCTTGAATATTTTAGAACGTCGTTTATTAAGAATGTCCATCCGTTCCGCGAGCACTCTCCGATATTAATCGATCACACGCCGTAAAGTGGCACGATTCAATTTCCCCGCTGTTAGCGTAAATAAGAGTCTCTCGCGTGACGTTTAATCAATCCGGAATTACAATATAGTCGTGTAATAACGAGGAGACCTGCCGATGCGCGATCGATGGAAAGAAATTCTTTTTGTTGTTGCAGCCGCGGACTCTTGCTTAATGTTCCAGTTCGTGGAGCAGGTCCGGCGGAATTTCCCTTGCCGAATATGCGCATATACGGCGGCTCATAATGTCGCGTGTACACACATGCTGAAATATTTGTATAGTGTCAGCTCAATCATACGTGGCTACATCCATATATCGATCATTTCCATAGGGGGTCAGTAGTGGAGTAACGTTCCACCTGTCAGTCGGACACATAGTAGTTCCTACTACTTCCAGACGTGATACATTCAGTAGTTCGTATCTCTTAGGTGGAGCACGTTCCTACACGGCTATGTTCTCGTCGACACTCCTCGAGTAAGGCAAAAGGCAAGTGGATAGAACAATAGAGAAATATTTAATTACACGTTTTTTTATACTTGAGGATCTAATTAGATTAAAACATTCGACGAATGAGAAGCCAATTTGCGGTTTGAGTTTTGTTCCCAACGTTTGTTAATTAATTTGGAGATAGTTGTACAGTATTCCAACAGTTTTTGTTGAACAAATAATGCCTTTTCTTATTTTTATTAAAATTTAATCGAGATTTTATAAATATAAATGAATACAGCACTCATTATAGAAGATATAAAGTCTCAATTAAATTTTGAGTATAATTAATGAAATGCAACAAAGTTACAGTAGATTCATTGTGAAAAATTTATTTATAATTACAATAGATATTGTGAAAAATTTATAATAGGGCTTTAAATAAAACGTGGTAAAATTTATATATAATTTATTATATATAATTTTATTATACATAATTTCGTATATTTGAGAAAAGTACTTGAGAGAGCTATAAAATTTTACGTTTTATTTAAAGCGCTATTATAAATAAGTTTTTCACAATGAATCTATTGTAACTTTGTTGCATTTCATTAATTATACTCAAAATTTAATTGAGACTTTATATCTTCTATAATGAGTGCTGTATTAATTTATATCTATATTTATAATTTCGTATATTTTAGAAAAGTATTTGAGAGAGCTATAAAATTTTATCACGTTTTATTTAAAGCCCTATTATAAATTTTTCACAATATCTATTGTAATTTTGTTGCATTTTAATAATTATACTCAAAATTTTACGTTCCAAACATTTATGTATTTTGCGTTTGGACTTTCTTAATGAGTTTTCTTCTTTGCATTGTTCCGAGTACACACACAACGCGTATCCAAGATACATTCATCCGTAATTATTAAGCATCGAATTCGTTATCATTATGGTGAGTAAAGTAAAATTGAAGGACATAATTGTATATATATTTGACGTGAACACACAATTCTCACAATCAAAAAATATGCATAAATCGTGCAAACGACAAAATTTCCATCGTGAACGAAGCCTAAAAGGACACCGGCACGATACGTAAATCATCCCTCCGGTAATACAAGTGTCCTCCGTGAAAATTTTAATAGAAATTTCAAGCTTTCTTTCACGCTGCATATCATATACATCCGCATTCCGTTTCGAACGGGCGTGATCGATACACAACAGTCGCGAAGGCACCGACAAACGGATGCCGCGGCGTGACATATCTGCGCGCACGCTGCTACGCGAAGCCGCGTCACGTGTCATCGAAAATATCTCCGTTTCCGTCGAGGAACCGTTCGCGTCGACGCTATCGAAATGAATCGACCTAAATACGTCCAGCGTTTCGCCGCGGCCGGGATATACGGGGTCTCGACGTTTTTCTCTCTCTTTTTTTTTTCCCTCCGCGATGTGTTTAAAGCACCACGGCGCGAGACCCGCAGTAGGTCACTTATCACCACGTGTAATCGCCTACTCCGAGTCTGCGACTGCTGCAACGCAGTTGAACGCAGTGCACTGTCTCGTGAATGGTATACTTATGCAACACACTCGCGGGTGAACGATAGGCATGGGAAAAAGGGAATATCGCACGCGTTATGTGACCGCAAAATCGATGGCGCGTTTTGCACAAAAGTCACCGAGTTAACGAGTCTCGGATCTTTTTTAATGAATGATACTAAAGCAAGCATTTTCCGAAGTTGTGGAGCGAAGCACATGATTCCTTTTTTTTCCAAGTTTTGTATAAATAAATAAAATTGCGTAAAATCAATTATATGTGACTCATGCAAAATTAAGGGACTACCAAATATTTAGTTGGTAAATGACAGCACAAGCATTTTTTTCATCAAAATCGTTTTATCTTTATGTTATTCAAATAATTGTCACTCGTGTCACTGCATTTTTCAGAAACAAAAGTAAAGTTATTTCATAAATTATTTCCTCTGTTGTGCTTATTGCAGGAATATTTAAATCAAATTAATTATCATTATGAAGCACCAACAAGTAACCGTAGACATGACGAACATGGTGTTTACCGCTTGCTCCTATCTGGCACTCGCCGGAGCGGTCTGGATATTTTTGCGGCTGATCCAGGCCTGCTTTTGGCTGCCGAAACATTTAAAAAGGCAAAATGATGTTCAAAGAATGTTGCAAGATAAGGTAAACTCGATCTTTCCTTCAGTAATTTCGATTGCTCATGTTTTTTTTCTCAGTCGATGCATATAAAAGCAAATCAATACACATTATATTAAGGACATGTAAACATTAATTAAAATTAGCGAAAATATTTATCTAATTTTTCCCTTTTTTTTTAAATAATTAATATGGGAGTTTAATGTTTCGTGAGGTAATTATTGTTATAAATGTACGATTCTCTAGGTGGAAAGTTATGAGAAATACGTGCTAGAATGCGAGGAGAAGGAAAGGGCGGAGATGTTGGATCAGATCGACGACGAGAAGAAGAATCTCGAGATGACGGAGAAGTGGAAGGAACGGCGGGAATGCCTCGACATGCTCAAGCGAGAGCTAGATAGAGTTCGCGAGGGTAAAGACATGTCCGATTGGGACGCCTTGCTGGACGAGGAGCTGAAGAAGCACGAGCTCGAGTCGAAAATCCTGGAGGAGGAGGAGGAAGAGGAACTCTCTAAGAACGACATTAACAAAGAGAAAAGCGACTGCAGTGAGAAAGAGGTAAAGAAAATCGAGCTCAATACCGAACCGAAGAAGAAAAAGTAACAACGATTGTCTGTGTCTTGAAAGTGCCTTAAATTCCGAAACCTAACGAGATAATTGTTTCTTCACAAGAAACAATTGCGTAAAAACAAGAAAAAAACGAATCTCCCCTCGCAAATAAATTTTTGAAATATTCTGTATTAAATATTCATGTATTTAATAATCAAGGCGCGTAATAATCAAATGATCAAAAGACATCTCACAATCAGTACATTCGGAATGCGCGGGAAAATCGGAATTGTTTAAATAATTGCAATTTTACCGATAATCTGAAAATTTAGTCGCTTTGCTAATATACAGAGAGGACATAGTTTTAATCCAAGTCAAATCTCAATTCGATTAATCGTTACGAGTGAGGAGTGATTTACACGAAATTACATGTAATCGATACCTATAGGAAGTATCTCCCGTGTATTATATGACGATCGCATTACAGTTACAGAGAGATAAAAATAGCTGTAAGCGCATACATGTAAATGTGGCGGTTCCAAAGCAGAAATTATAAATACGTAATATTATTCTTACACATGTATATTATGAATAAGGAATTAAAGTGATAACTTTTCAGCATTCAGTAATCCGAGAGTGAAAATGACGAGAGTTTAGACGTACAAATCATTAATTAAGCCACTGAATTTGTTTCGCCATTATCGCGATCGATATGCGGAGTAAATCGTGAATCGTCTACTTCGACGGACTCGTACCCGCTTTTAATACATGTCACGCTTATCGATATTCTCTCTCTACGTGCGCATTAATAATATACATCTCCAATTTACTTAATCGTCACGGAGCTGCGCGCGACGACGCTGCCATAACCGATGCTCAGTCGTAAATAATTAATGCAATGGGCATTTCGATATTTACTCACATATCATATCTCTCGTCGTGACGAACAAGCGGGACGATATATATTAGCGGCGTTACGTTTACTCTTTTCGCGCTCAAAACGTGTGGATATTTTAATTACGAAACGTTTTAGATATAGGATCTATAGAGGATCACGTTTTCGCAATTGTATAAGAGAATAATATTATATATATATATAGAAGAGAATTATATTGCAATGTATGACAATTTGTATACAACGTGCAATTTGTTGACTCTGTGTGTTTTTATATTATAACATAAATTACGTACGAAACGTATACACGCGCAACACACACGTACACGCAACAACTTTGATTGTAAAATCAATAAAATGATAAGTAGTTAGGACATTCGAGAACGAGCATTTCTTTCTTCTAATCGCATCACTTTTACGATTGATTGCTCTACGATTGATTTGTTTTGGTAAAGGCCCGATGACTTGTCGCAATGATTCGCAATAGCCTTGCTTCCTTTCGACTGCTCGAACGTAGACGTATTATTATCTCGAACCTGCCTGCTCGATGTATACGTGCAACAGCTGCGTGTAATTAATTCTACGATTATTTCCGATTTCGACGTCAGGCAGGTGCATCATGCTTTTCTCACCTTTTACTTTTGCCGTCGCGATAAAAGTCAAGGTTATCGGCTAATTAAAAAAAAAAAACAGCGTCGTTTGCTGGCGCGTCTCCAACTAGAACAAGATTATATTTTCTTAGTCGACGGAAAGCTTTATAAAAGCAGGATTTAAGAGCAGAGGATTTAAGATTTATGCTGCAAATTTTTAATGCAACGTATTCCGGGTTTTTCCTCGGATTATTCTTCTTTAAAGAAAATTTCGTAATATAGGCAAGTACGTACGTGCTTTAATGCAAAATGTGATAAAAGCGTTCGTAGTAGAGTAGTTTATTTTTGAAAATTCAATTCGCGAAAAAATCGTCATTTTAAGATCCGAGATTATCTCAACTTGCCGCCTGGGTATACATTAATTAATATAGATAGTTATTGATTAATTAAATATCATACACATATATTGAACTTTGCTTTGCCGGAAGAAGTTTTTACACCGATGTCGTAGACATAAGTGTATCGATCTAGACTAACAATGAGAGTATTGAGGAGTGGGGATCGAGAGGTATGTATATAGAAAAGAACTCATTTTGTTTCGTTCTTCTCATTCACGCATGCGTACATATTATATAAAACGTACGTCAAAAGTAAAATAAAATAAAATAAATAAAGAAAAAACGAGAAAACCATCATGTCCTGCGCAGTTATGTAATAATTATTTCGATAAAAATATTGCCAGTAGAAATACAACGTAACAGTGATACGTATGCTTTGCCAATATTTTTATAGGTTTAATTTATGTACATACAACTTATTATAATTAGATTAATCATGATATATTTTCAATCGTATTTCAATCATGTTAAATTGTTTTATTGATGAATATATTACAGTCGATAATGCAAACAGCTGCATGTATGTTCCAGAGATATACATATATGTTTTATTAAGAACAATTATATTTTTAGATATTGCACCTTTTTAGAAATTCTTAAAAACTCCTTTGTGACATATTTAGTAAAGTCTTAAGGTGGTTTTATCGTGCAAGTCCCAGTCAAAAGTCAATCCCTCCATATGATTAATAATTCAATATAAAAACAAGCATATAATTCAATAAAAACATTTCGCATAGACTGTATACAGTACGTATACGTACTGTATACGTACGTATACGTACGCGATTATGTGACAACGTCGCACTATCGAGTTGGCTTTCAGCGGTAAAACCACCTTAAAGACATCTGTATATTTTTAAAATATCTTTAGAAGAATATTTTTTTTCAGACTTACGTGTTCATTCGCGCGCTGCGCTGTTATCGACGTTACCGACCTCCGTGGCGCAGGTAGTTGACCGCGGTCGCCGCTAGATGGCGACGGCGGTACGAAACGGCGTTGCGCAGTGCGCATGTCGCCACGGCGACGTCAGCAAGATGGCGTTCGGTGTGCCGGCGTCGGCGGACTCGCGTCGCGTACGCGTAATTGGTGCTCGGTAGCGGGACGTATAGGCGCAGCGCAGCGCGCGACCCGCATCCACGGGGTTGGACGACGGCGAGCGTCGCGTCCCCGCGTGTCGGTCCGTCCGTCGTTTGTGTTGCGTGGCGCGAATCGAGTGCGAGAGAGACCCCGGGCCGTGTCGATAATCCGCGGCGGCGGCGGCGTCGTCGTCCCCGCGCGCGCCAGCGGCGATGCCGACCGGCGTACGGCGCGTCGTCGCGTTCTCGTGAGGTGCACGGGGCGTCCGTCCTATGTCATACAGACTCGTCGCGAGTCCGGAGGGCACCGGCAACGACGGGTGCTATGCCGCGGCGCATCCCCGCACGGCGAACGAGGCGAGCAATGTCGACAACGACAGCGATGACTCCGCGTCGTCCTGCCAGCTAGGACACGCCGCCACCGTCAAGTAAGTAAGTGCTGAAATGTAGTCTCCTTCACTTCCCCCCCCCCTGTCTCCCCCTCGTAACTCGCGAAACTCGTCAACTCAACTCCGCCCGTCGAGCTTTTTCGACGGCATCGTCCGACACCACCCGTCGCGATCTCTTTTGTCAGGGGCTGAGGTAAACGCGGAAGGTGCTCCCCTGTTCCATCGCTCTAATTCTATTTTGATTCAGGGCTCCTCGGGGCGGGGGGGAGGGGGGGACTATTAATAACGAGAGACGAGTTTCGCGAATCGACGCGGCGACTTAAATCCATCCCGGCGAGGGACCTTTAAGAGCACCTGTGCGTCTCGCAATTTAAATGCGTTGCTCGAATTGTCGGGGACCTGTGCCGCGCGGGGCGCATTCCTCGCCCCGCATTTCCGCGAGTTTTTGGCGAGTGATGACACGCGAGAGAGATCAAAGTCGCGCCGGCGCGGACGCGGCTCCCGTGTGTTTGCAATTGCAACCTCTTCCACCCCCTTCCGTCCCCACCCTCCTTCTCTTTGTAGCTAAAATTATTTGAACACATGTAAATTTTTTTACATTCCTAACGAATAACGTAGGAATTCTGCACCCTGAAATGGCTGAGCAAAAATATCTTTCTATTTTTTTCTTTTCTTTTATTATACAGCCAGATATAAGTACGTAATAAAAATTTAAATTGCCGATTTCATTAACGCCGTTTGCGTGTTCAGGAAACTGGTACGAGCACCGGCAATATGTTTCGTTCTAAAAATGTACTGTAAATTTCGTAGGGGATGGACATGACATTGGGGGGGGGGGGGGGAGAGGATAAAATAAGGGGATTGAATAATAACAAAGTCAATCTCTTTTGCACATGATGCATTGCGAATGCTGTTACTGCACGCGCGGCGCAAACATACATATATCTAACTTATACCGAGGAGGCTCGCGATCGATGAGGCTTGCGTGTCTTTTGACGATCTCGACGCAGAATCTCAACTTAGAAACGGTTAACAAAACGTCGTTCGAGAAGGTCAAGGACTCCTCCGCGTGACCGTGTTTCTCCTGCAGGAAAAGGACGAGACTTATCTCGCGGCGCTTTCGATTCTCACGACGCGGATATATCCTTTTCGCGCGGCGAAAGTCGATTTCGCGAGGTCATGTTTCAATCGAAGATCAAGATTGTATTACCGGCTCGGAGAGATTTTCAACTGTAATATCCCCAAAAGCGACCCAACGCGCTTACCGATCTACGTTTTCTATGTAAAATTTGCATACACTTTTTATTGAGTACGAACTCACGAAAATAGACCTTTAGTGCATTCTGACGTAATATTTAATTTTAATATTTAATTAATTGGCGTAATAGATCGATAACGTTCTCGATATTGCTATTGTCACAATTAACAGAGACAATTCGATAGAATGCATTCGAGGAGGTCAAGTACCCATTGAGAAGTAATAACGTAAGACCAATTTTGCATATCGATTTTTTTTAAATTTCAATCCTTTCACGCTTTCAATGATTTTTACCTCTAATACACCTGTAGCATGGAATTTACTGAAGAAGAAAAAATTGGTCTCAATTATTTCTGAAATTACATTTTTTAAAATCCATTTTTACTTGAATGTATTACTGAAATGTTTTTATTTGATTTTTGTTTATCTGTCTTTGTTAAATTCTGAGATATCGATTTCACACACGTGTTGAGCTAAAAAAATGTCCTTTCATTTTAGAGGTATAGCGTGACGAAGTTATAGATCCCTCTTTTCCGGGTGTAGCGGGGAAGGTAACTAAATATAACAATGGTGACCTAGGGTTAATTCAAATTGGGTATCTGTCGCGGCGGCCGGAAAGCCGCGCCGAATCTTTTCCGCAAGAAAATACCCGTTTTTATTCGCCTGAAGAATAACGTGACACTCACCTGCGTGATCCATGGGATCGTGCGCCATGGGATAAACACGGTACGCGCAGGTAGTCGAGTACAATGCACGAGCGTCGGCGCTGCAGCTGCATCGAGTCCGCGCAGCAAACGTTCGCACAGCGTTATGCGTCGTCACGGCATGGCAGGTTCAACGATTCGACGGACGGGGCTTTGTGCGTCTAGAACTTGTTGTTATACTCGCCTACCTACGTGCATACAATAAAGAGGCTGCACACGGTCGTCAGGTGACCGACGGCGCGACGTCGAAGGTCGATGACCGTTGAACTCTGACCGTGCGTTATGACATTATCGATGCGCAAAAGCTCCATCGCGGAATCTATTTCGGTTCGCGACGGGGGTCGTCGCGAATACACTCTCGTGAAGCTTGTCCGAGGGATGAATTCTCCGACTGTTTGTCTGCGGCGCCGGTTTCCTTCGACAAGCTCTTATTTCGCTCCGAAGATAAAAGGTGCCACGTGGATTGAGCTTCCCGCGGAGGAGCTTGTAAATAGAGAATAAAACTTTGCTTTCGGGTTAATGACTGTCAACTTCGCTTGGACAAATTGCAGTCGAGACCTACTTGCCAGGATGTTCAATGTAGAAAGTTAGACTATGACAACTACAATGAACTTGCCCCCGTAAAGTGATTATTATCGAAAGGTACATTGTAGACTTCTTGATAAGATTGTAATAATAGGACTTAAGTATTTCTTACTATAATAATGGCAGAATGTTTAGATAACCACGATACATCGTTCATACAATTATTTTTCGTTCCATATGTTTGCTAATATTTTTTTTTAATTATTTAATCGCTATGTTTAGTAAACTCATTGACTTTGAGAAAGTAATACTTTGCGCGCAAAATAAAAAAATATTACAGAATTTGTAAAATTTATTTACAATGAGCGCAACTAATAATGTAAAACTCTCTTTTTTCGTTATTATTTTATAGTGCTGAAATTATTTCTATTTCTAACAATAAA